AAATGTTCATGATGGGGTCATTCTCTTGAGCTGCCGACAGCTGTTCCCGACATGCCTCTGAAGCCGGTACATGACGAATGAGATCATGATCGAATTCAGTTACTTCTTCTGCTATGCACAGGCCGTCTTCATTCTTGAGAGGTTGTTTTGATAGGGTGTCTGCGACTACGAGGTCTTTTCCCGGAACATGTTTCATTGTGAAGTCGTACCTCACCATCCGGAGAAGCATTCGCTGAAGTCTAGGTGTAAGATCGCCCACAGGCTCTCTGGTAAACAGTGGTATGAGAGGCTTGTCATCAGTCTCAATGTGAAAGGTTACTCCTACAAGATAGTCCTTCAGCTTTTCGCAGGTCCAGGTAATTGTAAGCGCTTCCTTTTCGATTGGAGAATACCCTCTTTCTGTTTCAGATAATGATTTTGAAACGTAGGCAACCGGTCGGAGAGTTTCATCTTTCTGATGCTGCATTAGCACTCTCCTATACCTTAACTGGAGGCGTCTGCTGATAATATTGTCGCTTTTGTTGGAGAGTAGAGCGCCAAGACTGGTTGAGATGTCAGGCTTGATTTTACCCTCTCGAACGCTTGCTGCTGAGGAGTTTCCCAGACAAACTCGACATCCTTGTGGAGCAGCTCTCGCAAGGGTCGAAGTACATCTGTTAGGTTTGGTATAAATCTTGCAATAAAGTTTATTATACCGAGGAGCATCTTTAGCTCTGTTGTATTCGTCGCATGAGGCATGTTTAAGATACTTGATATTTTTTTTTTCATTATCTGGGCTTACACCCCTGTGATCAATGACCTGTCCAATGAACTGAATTTGTTCCTGAGCAAACATGCATTTCTGTACGTTTAGGGTGATCCCATTTTCTTCCAATCTTGTAAAGACTCCTGGGAGACGAATGTCATGTTCCCTTCGTGTGTCGGCCCATATCAAAATATCATCGATAAGGCACGTGACTCCTTCCAATCCTTCAAGAATTTGGTGCATCATTCGCTGAAAGATCTCGGTAGTCGATTAAATTTGTACCGGCCAAACGATGTGATAAAAGTCGTAAGCAGCATCGACTCTGGGTGCAACTTGATTTGGTAGAAGCCTGAACGGGCATCAAGATGAGAAAATATTCTCGTCTGCCCAAGAGTCGCTAGAAGAGGATCCACGCTCGGTAGTGGGTGGTACTTCCTCAGAACACTTTTATTAAGTAATGTGTAATCAACGCAGATGCGAACATCACCATTCTCCTTTGGAACTACAACAATAAGTGAGCAGCTTGCAGGTTCCGGAACTCTGGAAATAACACCTTCGTTCCCCATCTTTTTGAGCTGTTCTTCAACTGCTTTCTGGAGTGGAACTGGTATGCGTCTCGGTGACGATAAGGCAACGGGATAAGCATCAGGTTTTAGCTTTATTTCGCACACGTATGCAGCTTCCCCTACACCCTCAAAAAGCAAGGGGTACTCCTTGATTGGATCGAGAGCTCCTGAAGTCGACGGCTGATTTACTCGTTGGATGATGGTTAGGGCTTCTATGGGGTATAAGCCGAGCGGTGGCTCGTTGATATTTCTTGTTACATAGAATGCGCCCGTTGTATGAGAGTCCTCGAACGTGGCCGTTGCCTGCAGCACGCCGAGAACATGCAGGCGTTCGTTTGGTGGCCCAAGAAGAACTTTATTCGCGTGTCGAAGGCTGCCTTGGTCTTGCAGTTTGGAGAGTACGTGCCACCGATGAGGTGGCTTGTCCAGATTGCGTCATGAGCAGGCCTGGTTCTGAACGATGTAGTTAGGAAGACCTGGTGGTTCTTTGCGAACTGGGCCGCTCACTTCTGGAGTCGAAGATAGCTGACGAGTGTAGTATTTCTGATCGAGCGGCGGCCAGAGGCCCGACGTTGAAGCTCAAAGAAGGAATGACTTCCGCCGGCTGCTGGTCATAGTCTTCGAGTCTCGAGCAGCTCGACCGCGGGTGCCCGGCCCCGTTTATTTCACGCGCGGTAGTGGCTTCTTTTTCCGTGCCGGCATTATGGACTATATACAAATACTACATATTCTCTCCCTCCCTTGACAAAAAAAAAAAAAGGACAAAAGAGGAGGAAAATACCACGAAACTTATTCTCTCCCTCCCTTCACAAAAAAAAGGAAGAAAAATACCACTTGAAAAAAATGCACTTCCCACTGTACCGAAAGTTCCAAGAAAAGAAAAAAAAATTAGTCCAAAGGTTAAAATGTCCATGATTTCATGAGATGTGGATGATGGGCTCATGTCCAAGATATTCATGACATAGTCTTTAAATCGTTCTGGTAAACGTGTATGACGTTTTGGGCGTCCTTCTACTTGAAACGTCGATGGTAGAGGTGTTGAAACAGGTGTGGCGAGGCCCGGTTCAGTACGCGTGCTTGCAGTCAGGTGTGGTGGCGATGAGCATGATGGTGCACCACAAACAGCATCCGCGGTGGACGCGACAACTGTATTAGGCGTAGCTGAACCTTCGGGCTCAAGACCAGCACCCGAAACACAATCAGGCGCAGAGTCAAATGGGGACTCATGCACTGGAGGCGTAATCCCATCCTCGTCGCCAAAATGCAGTATTTCTGACCGAGCGGCGGCCAGGGGCCCGCCGTTGAAGCTCAAAGAAGGAATGACACCCGCCGGCTGCTGGTCATGGTCTCCGAGTCTCGAGCACCCCGAGCGCGGGTGCCCGGCCCTGTTTATTTCACGCGCGGCATCGGCTTTTTTCTCAGTGCCGGCATTATGGACTATATACAAATGCTACGAGTCCCAAAACTTCTGACACCATGTTTTGTAGTAGGTGGGTTTACTCAGCTATGTTCATAGAATGAGATGAAGTGATGCGTCTTGAGTCAGCCCGAAGCAGTCTTGAGCAGTAACTAGTTACTAGTAACGCGCTACCGGTAACTAGTAACTTTTTCCGGTAACTTTTACCTGTAACGCGTTACTCTTTAATACTGGTAACTTGTAACTGTAGCACTGTTCTTTTTTATTGGGTAACTGTAACTGTTTACACCGTTACAGTTACTATTTTTTTACTATATAAATTAGAACCCACCGCCGCGGACATGGAGAAATTGCCATCTTCAAGTATTTTTCTCTACACTCCGTGCTGACAAAAAAGAAAAAAGAAAAAGAAGAAGAAGAAAAAGCGTGGCCACGCATTAAAAAAAAATGCAGTGACCGAGAATGGACGACGGACGAGTCAGCACGAAACCTGGGGATAAAGGAAGCGGCGTCCGCGGTGGTAGGGGCTCCGCATCACCCCATGGTTCCCCTCGGGAAGATGGTGTAATTTTTTTAATTGCGTAGACGGAGGTGAAACGGTTAACGAATGTCTTTATTGAGCACCGTCTAGTACTTGAGGTGTGCACTTTGCTTTGATGAGGATGGCTTTGTGGTCGCTGAAGTTTACCGTGAGGTGATCTTGGTGCAGTGGGTGGATCTTGAAATTGGTGAAGACGTGATCAATGCATGTGCCGTGAATGGTAGTTGGCTGTTGTTTGCGGTCGTCGTATGATTCGTGTTGCAGCGAGTGGTGTGATGACATGTACTCAACTATCCAATGGCTCTTCATGACGTTGACATTTAAGTCGCCAATCTGCATGAAAGGATGTGTGTCTGCGTATAGCTTTTGGTAGTCACCCATGGCCTCGTCGATGTACTGCTCCACCGCTGTGTGTGAGAGGTTGGGTGCGAGGTACATGGTCATGACGTTAACACCGTAGACGCTAGCGGCACAATGCTCGCCGTTGCTACGTTGGTCAGCAGTGATGCGCAGTTGTAGGTCCAGCGCGTTGACGGAACGTTTGTCGGAGTGAGTCAGCAACATGGCGGCGGCCTAGGAGCGGGTTTTGGAAAGGTGTATATTCACACTTGAAAGAGAGGAGACTAGAGGAGGAGAGTTGCGCATGCGCACGCGGTGTGAGTAGAAGCGAACGCACGCGAAGTGCACGCAGCTGGTAGAGAGAGAGAGCGGAGAGAGTAACGCGCAGCTGTTGGAGAGAGGGAAGGAGGAGAGTTGCGCATGCGTAGTGCGAGTGCGGACTACGACGCCGACGCCGCGGGACATAGACCCGAGCAAGGGATGCTCTGCATCTAAAACAGAGACAACGAAATAGATAAACAATAGACCGATCTCACAGCTAGTTTCAGTACGCCACCGCTGCCGACATGCATCGTGGGAGCTGTAGTCTTTCTGCACGTGCGACAACCCTGCTGGAGGTCTACGCGAGCAGAGCACGAGGCGGCATGAGCTGTCTCGTGAACTGGCGTCTGCCTCCTACGAGCTACAGTTAGCTCGTAAGTGCGCCAGGCGCGCATGCGTAGAAAGCTTGATGGGATCGGTCTATTAAGCGCGCCCTTGTTTGTCTACATCGTTGTTCGTTTTCTTTTTGTTTTGTTTTTGCTGTTGTTGTTTTGGCGTTTGCTTTTCTGATTAGACAGTCACTCACACGCTGTTAGATACAAGTCAAGGCCTCCGCTGCTGTTAAAGTCTGAACTTCCCTAAAAACGGGAAAGGATGTGAGGACGAGGAGCCGGACCCCCTTGGTCTTCTTCCTGTGTCGACGGCGACCGGGGTCTGCGGCAGAACAGACAGGCACACCATCGGCAGGTCACCTGTGACGTCAACTCTGATAAGCACCGACGTCACAGAAAAGCAGAGGAGGCAAGGAGGAAAGCCGTGCTGTTTGCGTGGTTGATGTCCGCACTAAAAATGGCCGGCCGGACAGCAATTGACTTTCACTTCATTAGCCGGTGAATTGTCGCTCCACACCTTTTGACGTGACCTGTTAGGACAGCCCTCAAGGTTACATCAACGCCTATGCTTCACACGTCAGCCAGGATGTCATGCTTGCAGTATAAATACGCGCTGACCCCGAGATTCCATTGTAGTTCATGCCAGAATATAAGCATATTTGCTGTGAAGAAAGGCTCAAGTGTGGTGCCCATTCAGTGTGCCACCTATAAGAAAGAAAACGCAACCAGGGATGAAACGCAAGGTTTGAAACTTTTTTTATTTGGCACGCTTCTGTACAAGAAGTTTCAGACATCCTCGATTCTGAAAGTAACAAACTTTTGCTTCCATTTGCCAGGACTACACCGTTCCAGCCCACTCTAATAGGAAAAGATCAATTAAAAAAGAACATCAAGAAAATGTTTTAACTTTGGCTTGCTGAAGATCTTTTACCATGCCAATACACATGCTAGCCATTGCCAACCTAAACATAAACCGTATCACAAAGAGTCTTATTTTTATATATGAACGCTTTAGCATGATCGCAGAAACCCGCAAAACCTTTCTGTCAGTGACTCCTTCCGTGTCTGGTTTTAATCTTCTGTACACTGCATTTTGATTGATTAATTTCAAGCCGAAAAACACTGCAAGAAGATGCACATTACAAACGATAAGCGCTGTATTCCTGATTATGCCAACACTTGCTTTCTTTTGATGATTGCAGTTCAAACATGATTCATTTAGAATAACAGGCTCTTCAAACCACTTGAAGTTTACTCCATAATACAAAATAATAAATACAAACTCCAGACTGGGAACAGATAAAGAAACGGACAAGCGAACAGACCGTCTGAAAACACAGCTACTAGTTTTAGTTCCCATCGTCCCCTTTATATTATTGTCTACCCTTCCCGAAGGATACCCACCTCCTTTGGGTGGTATCATTCAGGGAAGGTAGACGATCGTATGAAAGTGGCGATGTGAAATAAAATCAATAGCTGTGTTTCGAGACGGTGTATGTGCTTATCCCTTTCTTTTAATCTGTTCCCAGTTTTGGCTTTTTTATTATGGAGTTAGTTCACTAGCTTGCTGCTTTTTATCACTTTCGTTGTCAAGTTTACTATGACCTCAAACAAAGTAAGCTTTTCTTCATTAGGCATTTTATGCACTCCTGCCATAAATTTAATCGAATAGAGGCATAGTGCAATAACAGTTAAAAAAATCAAAATGGAAAAGATTACAAGAAACTTTTTCCAATGCTCAAATGTTTACAATGCAATAGGTCACAGGTCTTGCAATTAAATAAGCTCAATGATCAAATCTTTCAATCTCTAGTTTTCCAGGCAGCATTGGATAATCTCACCATGTTCCCACAGTGAGAGAAGGCTGAACAATCAAAATAGTTGATAGCTTTCAATAAATAGAGTGCAAGCTTGTAGGTTTAAAAACAAGCTTCCACTACTCTAGAGCATGAGTAGCAAGAGCTACCACTCATGGCTAAGGGCTTGCTCCTGCATACAGCCTTTGTCATGTGCTTGCTAAGATGAATATGAGCAGTTTTTGCTCCTCGCTTAAGACATGATGGTCGATGCACGCAGACAATTTTCCATAAACATAATACCTAAAGGCTTTCCAAACGAACTCTATGCAAATCCAGCACTTAACCAAACCTCAAAAAGAATTTGAGCTAGGCATACAGCCATGCTAATTGATCCCTACTTTAGTCACGAAATACAAGCACAATTTGTCAGCAAGGAAAACAATGACAAAAAAATGGTGCAACAAAATTTGTTTTTTGTTATATACAGTGGGGGTGATTTGGTGAAGCATTGCTTGGCATGTGACTTATCAAACTGTGAAAATAGCTCTCGTAGCCATATGTACAAAACATTCACAAGACTGCCACACCTAGTGCAGCCACGTGCCACCATTCCTTGGAAAGAACTGGGACGATTAAATACAGCCCTGAAAGTCTAAATTTACATTGTACTTACAGCGAGAAAGTCGAAAAAGGGGCGGTCTCCTCGACGTGACTCCACAGAACAAAGCACCATTCAGTCTCTTATTAAATAAAAATAAAAGGTCCAGAAAAGAGTCACAATTTTTTTACACCGACTGACGCTTCTTCTCCCTTTGATCACAAGCCACGGGCAGAGAGAAAGAGGCACACCGTCCTCGTCTTTGCTGGCGACTAGCACGTTTTTCTTTCGCTCTGCGCTTCGACTAGATGCCTAGGATTCTTGGAAAATGAAAACAGCAATTCGGAAAAGTCACTTCATCGTGGACGGGACCCTCAAAAACCTTCGCCTGACTTTTCCACACGGTCACGTCCACACTTCCGAGAGACCAGCACATCCTGTGCAGCAATCCTTCACCGAGCACGGAAATTTTTTACTTCAGAAGGTTGTGGAATCTTCTGCACAATTTCAAACATCGTACGTTATACGTCCGAGTCAGCAGTACGTGCTCAGATTGTACCGCTGCTGTTGCTGCTGCTGTTGCACTTGCTGCTGTAGCCGCGCGTCGGCCGCTGCCGTCGCCGCGATCATCACTTCGGGACGAATTCTGCTCACCACTTTCTCACCGTCCAGCACAGCCATCACCACAGGGCTGTCCGCGGGGCAGTGCAGCAAGTCCGGCAACTCGGCGCCCCCCCACTCGTCGTCCCCCACCACCACCATCCCGGAGTCGGGGGAAAAGTTTGTGGCCGCTTCTTCGAGCCGCTGCGCGAGCGCCGCCTCGTACAGCAGCTTCGGCGAGTACGCGTTCCCGCCGTAAACGACGTCGTGCTTCCGGCGCCCCGAGCCGTATAGGCGGTCGCCAGCATACCTCGGCAACTCTGGCGACCCGGAGTAGTCCCTCGAGAAGCCGTGCATGACGTGCGCCAGCGGCGTCGCGGGGAACTTTCCGGGCAGCGGCGCGATGAGGAGTGGCCGCTGGTCGTAGCCGTAGCTTGAGGAGGAGTGCTGGCTGAGGTCCGACAGGTCACCATAGAAGGTCTCGACTTGCGGGGGCGCCGGCGGCGGTGGCACGTCTGAGAGTCGGTCGACCGATGAGGAGTCGCCGTCGATCGACTCGTAGATGTGGTCCGCGAAGGCGCTGTACACGCTCGACGAGTCCGAGTAGTGGCCGTGGCTGGGTCTTCGGCTCTGCGCCCATGTGCGATGAAGCGGCCCGTTCTGGTTCGTCGCCGCTCCTTTCGGGTGGCTCAGGGTGCGCTGCGTCTTCAAGAGGTGTTGCTGCTGTTGCTGCTGCTGCTGTTGTTGCAGCAGCTGCTGTTGCTGTTCGAGGCTGTTGATGGCGCTGATGTTGTTGCTGGCCGAGCTGCGGTGAAGCGTCCCGGACAGCTGGCCCAGCGTGTTGGTCGTGTGGTTCTGGTCGGCGGGGGATCTGACGTTAGCATCTGGAGAAGCGGGTGTCAGGTTTTGAGGGTTGTTGTTGGTGGCCCTGTCCATAGATTGGTGACCTGGGAATACAAGACAAAGAATATCTTACAAATAGACCTCTCGTGCATTTTGAGGCATACCATCTTTGGAGGTATGGCATTATATTTTGTTTCGAAACTTCAGAACATTGCACAAAAAATCGAGCATAGCTTTATAACTCTGAAAGACTCTTCACTTCGACAATAAAAGAGTGACATAATCAAAGTAGTAACTTCTTAACCATGAAATTATGTCCTACCCTTCCAACAATAAAGTATCTAGGTAAGTGACATAGAAAAATGGATACTTGTTCAAAAGAGATGGTATCGTTAACAAGTTATTCTGACAACAGTTTCTAATCTACACCACCATCCTTCTCTTATGTGACAGAAACTCACAAGCACAATCAAATACTGTAGCAAGTTCTCACCTGGTATGGTGAACCTTGGGGTAACTGTAGAATTTTTGTCCTGTGAGTTCCATGACTGCTGCACAACCTACAGGAAGCAAAGACAGTTATAACACAAAATTTGAAAAATCGTAAGCTCATGTTACTTTAGCAGTGAAAAGTAAAAGAAATCTCCAGGTAGCAGCACAGGGAGAGACATTAATGGACATCTACATCCATTCTAAAGTCTTTGAAATGCCCCACAGTGCACTCTCTGCACATGAAAGGTAAAGCAGGCAAGGCCAAGTGATCCTGCACTTGCCACTTTCTAAGGCAAAGTTTAAAACGTGTTTGCAAGCTTGGGCACTATTATCCCAACAAGATTTACTGTCACATCATGCAGCCATGGTATTTGTGATGACGTTTTGTAGATGCATGAAGGGTTTCAACATTATCGACCTCATAATAGCATTGGCCGGAATGGTACAAGCAAGTGAAACCATGGGGGCTAAGTTTGAACAAACGACCAGTTCTGCATAGACCAATTGTGGCAGTCCATTCCATGTCTTAGTGTGCCAGAGGCTTTGAAGTTTTATTTTAGGTCTTAAAAGCTGAATCAGTTGAGCCATCATATGCTGCTACCCATCATACACCATTACTTCTCCAACAATTATTTTTCAATGCTGTTTTTAAGTGCATCTTTAGCCACATGTAAAGGTAGCACATTGAAATGTAGTTTTTAAGCCAGACACTTTGTTTCCATTGATCCCTCTTGGAAGTAAGAGGGGACTACCTCCTGATCTGATGGTTGTTCTGATCAGCTCTGTAAGGTCACAATGGGTGCTTCAGAACATTGCAGGCACTGGTTACCAGAACCTCCCATTGCCTGAAGTCCCAGAGAGTTTAAACCACTTCTCACATTGCAATAAAAGATAAAAGTTCTCTTGCAGAGGAGTTCTTCTCACCTGATATGGTTATTAAACTTAGATCAAATACTGCAAGCTAATTAAAATAGCTTGCTCATAAAAACATACTTGAAGTCCTAAAAATATTTATAATGACCTCGATGTCCTTCACCTATGTGGAAGGTTAAAATAAAATTGTCAGGTGGCAAAAGCAAGCCATTATTTTTTGCCCTGTACAAATAAACCACGAATCGCAGAAAGCTTGGACCCTGCAGGATAATAGTAGTTATTAAACTTTCCAAATTCAATATTATCTAATTCAAAAGTTAAAAGCTAGCAATATTTTTTAAAATTTGAATTGGGAAAATAGTTTATGTTTTTGGCAGCAGATTCTATTCATCTCCACATATCTGAAAGCACTGCTGGCCAGCATTTCACATTAAAAGGTTTCGAATATTATTTCCAACTTCTGATACTACCACAATCGGGCAGAGCCTGAACTTTCAGTTATACATATAGGTAGTTTGTTTTTATGACAAAAAAAAAATGAAAGCCGTTTACGCCTGTAACGCCGAATTAGAGTGCAGCTCTTGAGGAGGAGGGGAAGGTACGGAGAGGAGGCTATGCCCCTCCTCCTTTCCTGCTCACCTCCCATTTAGGGGAAACTTTTCCGCTAAATTTAGCGGGGGACTTTTTCCGCTAGATGGAGCGGGGAAGTTTTTTCCGCTTGAATTAGCAGGGAAATTTTTCTGATAAATTTAGTGGGGAAATTTTTTACGCTAGATTTAGCGGGGAAATTGTTTCCGCTAGATTTAGCGGTGTAATTTTTTCCACTAGATATAGCGGGGAAATTTTTCTGCTAGATTTAGCAGGTAAATCTTCCCACTAGACTTAGGGGGGAAATTTTTTCCGCTAGATTTACCGGGGAAATTTTGCCGCTAGATTTAGTGGGGAAATTTTTTCCGCTAGATTTAGCGGGGAAATTTTTTCCGCTAGATTAAGCGGGCAAAGTTTCCCGCTAGATTTAGCAGAAAATTTTTTCTAATAATTTATTGGGGAAACTCTTCCACTAGATTTAGTGGGGAAATTTTTCCGCTAAATTTAGCGGGGGAATTTTTTCCACTAGTTTAGCGAGGAAAGTTTTCCGGTAGATTTAACGGGAAAATTTTTCCGCTATATTTAGCGGGGAAATTTACCCATAATGCACTGCGCGGTTAATCTTACGGCGACGGTGACGCCGACGGAACTCAAGCCGGAAACGGGCGCCTAAGAGCTGCGCTCTAAAACATGGTATGCTTTTCCCAGCTGACACCCTGTTTGATAAATATAACTTATTCAGCACATCTTTAAAGAACAGGAACATCATCAATAGTTATGGTGGCCCACTATCTGAATAGACTGCACCTCCCAGCTCACATCAAAATCATTTCCCGAGTAGTCATATATAATGGAAGTTATCTCTGTACATAAAAACAAAACATGCTCAAAAATAAACAGGGTGAGCATTAGTATCAAAGCAACAGGGGTTATCTTTTATAGAAACAGGCTACAAAAATGCTTTGTTACATGTGAATACTAAACAAAACAGGGAATATAGCAATCAAATTAATCAGCCCTAAATGCACCAGCACCAGCTTAAAATAAATTTGAAAGGGTTATCACTGACAAAAAGCAGCAGCTTATATATGCAGCACACTGATAGAGGTAATCACATTATGCAGCATACAAATTGACCTAATCACACTTTCTATCAATTTATAAAAACAGCAATAGGCTGACATTTATGAAAAAGACTTATGGTAGGTGTTAGTAAAATTTTCCTATATTTGTAAGCAAGCATCACACCATGCTAGGGAAGGGTCTCAGGTTAGCAAACATAAAGAAGAAGGAAAGTTCAAATATAGCACCTTGGCAAATATGTGCTACAACTTACAGAAACAACCTTCTTACGTAGACCAACCCTGCATGCATTGTCGCATATTAAGGAGGTGGCACGAGTCCCTCGTCATCTTTTAGCACTTTACACCGCAAATGCATAAAATAAATCTGTGTTGCCAGAAAAGCAGCGAGTCTAAGGTAGCAGGATTCATGCTGTTTTCGTGTTAAAAAAGCGCTATTCTCTTCAAACCATGATAACGGCTAATGAAAAGCATTTTTTGATCCCTCGCATAAAATGTTCAGGCATCTCCAGAGGTTTTTATAACCCGAGTTACGCTGAAAAAATCTCTGTGGTCCCCAAAGACTGCCAGCAAACATTAGTCACTTAATGGTACCTGTAAACCATGTGACTATGATCAAGCTGTTGAACACACTCTCATTTCAGGCACTCTACAGTTGGGAAAATGATGGGCAAGGGTTCGTTAGAAGAACAAAAGCAGATAACCAAGCATGGTACAGACAGCAGGACATACACAAGAAGAAGCAATTCCACAATTTAAGCAAAACAAGACACACTCGCACAAACAAAAAGAGAGAGAGGCGGGCAAGATCTCTCGGCCATTCAACTGAGAGCGGGTAGTGAACACAAAGTGGTGCAAAAGTGCCGGTGCTATACCTGGCGCAATAGAGGATACAGAGGGGGGTAGTATGGGGGGGGTACCCACACTGAGCTGGGCTGCAGTGCCATTGGATAGCACGTGCGGCGTGGGGTCCTCAGTGCCTGAGGCACCGCGGAGGCACTCTGGTAGCCAGGTTACATTTTTCAGCAGACGGCGCACTTCGTCTTGAACCTGAAAATCCATCCGCAAAAAAAAAACACCTCATGAGAGCCCTAGCCTCAAAGTCAATGACGGTGTTGATAGAGCAGTATTTGTATTTCGTTTGTCTATTTAGTATTTTTACTTTGAACATTTTGCCAAGAAAACATAAGTGGATTATGAATCTCTCTTTCAGATAAAAAAAGTTTGAGGAGAATCAGGTTTTGCTCTTCCGATATGATTCATTTGTTTTGGTTCAAGCCTTAAGCAAGCTGCCCTTTAACAACAATGATGCAGTTGCTGCATTAAATTTTCTGTCTCTGCATAAAGCGTGACCCACTTTTTTATGTTAAGAGGTGCTACAGTAAGGTAACTATACGATTCTGAGCCGAAAAGCCTACAGATACATAAATATGGGTGGAATATAATTTATTAACTCCAAGTAGAAGGTTTTAACCATGCATGATTAGGTTACGGGGTTTTATTTTTGCAGTTAGGAGTACAAATATAAGAATATGTGACGGCAGCCCCAAAACCATGGGGCTTTGAGCTGACCAAGGCTTGTCGCTTTGCAACTTGTGTCAAAGCTAGGGTTATGAGATCACGAGTTCATGCTTCAAAGCGCTTCTGGGCGGGAAATTTCAAATGTATTATGAAACTGCCAAATCGAAGCAATGAAGTTTGAGGCTTAACTATATCTCCTACCGTACAAGCTCCATGCACAATGTTGAATAAAAAAACAACCAATTACCACAGGTAGCAGAAATATTAAAAGAAGCCTAGTGCAATATGGGCACTCCATAACAGAGTAATTGATTTGCCAGCTCAAAAGATTAGTACAGTGAGCAGCATGTGCTCGCGTCTATAGACCAACACGCGGCCCTGACGTCACACAGATGCGGCGGCGCTGCCGACGGCACTGGACATGCGCAGACACTTCACTCCTCCCGAATTTGGTTTCTGCGCACGCGCAGTGCCCACACCTTGTGTGGGCAAACGCGGGCTTGTTTGTAAACAGCGTGTTGGTCTATAAGCAGAAGGTCACAAGTTCTCTTGAAACCTTGTCTTGTAGCACTGGAGCCCTAAACACGGCATAGCAGCAGAAACATATACCGTAAAATACCGAGCAAGTTCCCGCCTGACAGTATAACATAGCCATGACGTCTGAGTGCAGCAAAGCAGAAAGGGCACGGGGTAGCGTTTGCCCTCGTTAGACCTGACAGCACAAAACAGATAAAGCCTAGGGTCTGGAAGAACCCCCAATTTGATTCATGTCGGTGCTTTCGCAACAAGCTTAGTTGCCTTCCACTGATGCATGCACATAAATCTTCCCATCCTTGCAATGGCTTTATAGAGAAGCATCTCACGTGGAGGAACACCCCACTCTATGGGCTCAGAAGTGGAGGGGATGTGCACTTATTTGCAACATGGTTGCCTGCTGGGTATTGATTGGTAGTAATCAAGACACTTTAAGCACACCTGATGCAAAAGATTAAACAAAGCCATGCAGCACTTACCACTTCATTTTTCCAGCAGCAGAACAGGAGCAGGAACACTCCCTGCAGGCTATTAAGTATGCAGAATAAATAGGCGAGTAGTGCGGTGTACTTGACAACGTAAAGGATGCCGGCACCCCATGTGAGCGACATCACCGCCACGAGGAACACGGCCCACCACATGTCATTCCTGAAAGAGAAAAAAGATGCCCGGGTTACTAAAAGATCACCGCCAATGTTTTTACATCACTGTCACTAGATCTTTTGCTAAATTACCTAAGCACCAAGGAGAGCACATGAGTGTAGCTACATGCGCTGCACATACTGGCATCTGCAGCAGTATCTGTTTTAAAGCAAAAACCTGAAACAAATGCAACTCTGCATGAGTGTTTACAAACACCTTAATTTGGTGATTTACTTTGAATATCTTATACAGATCAGGTGAGCATGTGCAGTGTGTGTACCTAATTTGGCAAAAAGGTCAATCACCTGCCATAATGCAGATGACATTGCTTTAGAAGGTGCACATTTTTCGAGCTGTGCGATTAATGAAAGGGATAAAAAAAGAACCATGAGAGAAGGGAGAAGTGGTGATGAAGAACAGGATGTGGATAAGGGAAAAGCAATAAAAATGGGAAAATGCAGAGCATATGCCGGCCTTTAAAAAACCTAGAACCTTGCTGATAAGTTTTTCGGTGGACAACAGTACAAAATGTATGATTAGAGAAAATATAACCGATAGTGCATTTAGGAGGAATGGATGAGGCAGAGAAACTCCCACATGGCAAATTATTTTCCCTAGACTGCTGTAGACAATGAACATATTTATTCAAATATATGTCAAATTTGTTTTAAACCATTCTTTATAATTGAGGGTGGTCTGCAATTGTACCCAAAAGCTCTGCCATAATTGTGAGGAAAATTTCCAAACCCATTGAGTTGACCCAGCCGTTTCATCTAACACTCCAGTGCAAAGTAGTGAAGCCCAATGCGTGAAACAGTGCAAAGAAATTAATCTTGGAAAGCATGTGCCTTGCACAAAAACAAACTTGAACTTCATGTACCATGTGAAATGAAACTAGCACAACTGGGTGAACTTAGAAACATAGTGTGGATGTGCACAATGAAAAAATGAATGAAAAGATGAATGAGTTGTTGCAAAAGCCTGGATTCCTTCTGAGCTTCATTGAAGGTATGCCCAGGTGTGCAAGAAGCATAACAACCGGGAGAGCAGGAGCAATGAATGGGAAATTAGTCCACATAGCTGCATGGGAGTTGAATGAAACTGGAACTGTCGTGAACATGACAACTGGGAAAACATATCAACCAAGAATGCATCAATGAGGTTCTACTTTGTGAGGATGATGCATGATGCTGAACATTTAGAACCAAGAGGCTGAACAGGCATCCTTTTGATTGCTATGTGCTCTGGAAGAGAGGTACCCAATTATCATAAAGCACAGTCCAAGAATACAAAACCGAATTAGGTGGCTATATAGTTAACTGTGACGTAGCAATGCCAATTCACTGAGATATAGCTTGTGGCACCAACTGTGTTCAGCCACATCTGAACTTGAGTTGCGAGACTTAAGCCCATATGCAACCAAGGTACGGTCAAGAACAGCTTAGAGCATACATGTGCTAGTTGATAATCAACCAAGACGCAGACTGTTGAGACACATGCTAAGGAAACTAGTTCAATGAGGACTCAAACCTGAATTTAGAAGCTGTAAGTAATTAAGAAATATGAAGACTATGAGTCTATCCTTCAGAAATGTGCGCATACCTAATTTTCCTAAGCTTAGCTTCTTCCTTGCACTTGACAGCTGTGGTGGTGCTGCCCTGATGACACAGCACACAAGCAGCAATGCAGAGAAAAATGATGCACCCCTGGAATAAAAGGAACACATTGCAGCTGCTATCAGCATGAAAGGTTGGTTTCATCAAAGCTTTATGTGCTGCTTGGATTAAGGTCTGGACAAACCAATATTTAGCATTGTCAAAGTCATGTAGGGATAAGTATAGGATATGTTTAAGTCAGGTTTCCAAAGAAGATAAGTTTAAGTCAGGTGGAGATAAGTTAAAGTCAGACAGGAATAGCTTAAAATTAGGTAGAAACAGGTCAAACAAGGTTTAAATTAAGTAGGAATAAGTGAAGGTCAGGTAGTACAGTGTAGACCGCATATAACGTATGTCGCGGGAGTCGCGAAAATCCGCAATATAAGCGGTACCGCGTTATAACCAAAACATCAATTTTTCAGGCCAAAATACATGCCATGAGACAACCTACTTTTGTAAAAGAATTTATTTTATGTTAGATGAAAAATAAAGCTTAGTTTGAGAAAAGTCTTTATTTCACCAGACTAGTACAGTTCTGTCTCAAGTGTGTCACACATTTTGAAAGAAATGAGCGGCTTTTGCCTGGCGCAGCCTTTTAACGGCGTCGCGGCCGGGTTGCGGACGGACGTTGCGAGCGTTCAGGATTGCTAACCCTAATCACTTTTCTCCGGAGATGAAAACGCGTGAAAATTCGCATCCTTCATACGGTACGCGCCAGAAAAATACCTTGAACTTTAGCACAGGCATGAAATGCTCCAAATAAGAAATCCGGGCGATGTTCGAAAACACAAATGCTTAGAAAGCACCACTTTAGCCGAAGTAAACAAACACGACGACACGGGCGTTTCTGCCGTCTTGAGAGCGCCGCCACATCGCCGCACGAGTAGGTGGATCTTCCCTTCTAGTACGTGCTGGGTTATCATAGCGACACACAACGAAAATTCACTGTCAAGGATAGCGTTTTTACGCGGAACGATGAGATGAACGCCACAACCGACGCCATGTTTGCGGACAGAAGCCGCCGGCCCGCGATTGGCATGCAATGCGCGCGAACACTTCTCGACCTGCGATTGGTCTGTCGTTTCGGTTGTTTGTTCCCAACGCAGCGGAGGGACGCACGCACATAAACGACACGTGCGTGCGTCCTTCCGTCGCTATGGCAAATGAAGCCTCTCTCTTCGCTTCTCCGAGCAACCTCCTTGCCCCGCGAGTGCCGTTTGCGGCAAGTTGCGGCTCGCGCCGTTATCTAGTGTCGCACAGGGAAGCGTGCTCGCTGCTCCGGTCGTCGGCGCGGTCGGCGGGCTGTGCCAGAAACCGCACTATAACCGGTATTTCCCTTCGCGCGCCTGCATTTTAAGCGGTATGTAATTACATGGAGTTCTATGGGAGGCGAACCGGTGGTTTAAAAAAACCGCGTTATACCCGGTCCTGCACTATAAGCGGTTACGCTGTAAGTGGTCTATACTGTAATAAGTAAAAAATCAGGTGGATTAAGTAAAGTAAGTTAATTTTTATTTTATTTTATTTAACCTTCCAGGCCAATATTGCTGATGGTATTAGAGAAAGTATAACACTTATAATAGGAAATACTTGGGACAAAAACAACATTTGCAAAATTATACACAAAAGACAGACAACGGTAAATTCAAACAAGAAAACAAAAGATGGCAGTAAAATAACAGTGGAATAAGTATGACTATGAGGTTACTGTTTGAAATGAAACTATGTGTTATGGGGAATTCGCTTAGACTGGGACAATTTGCTTAGATTGGGATTGGGACACCTTCAAGGGGTTCCCCGAGCTTCAAATTTTCTCAACTACCTCTGTCCCGAAGTAAAATTTTTTTCAAGAATGAGCACAACTAAACAGATCTGAACCATTCATTGATGCCTAACTATGAGTCTAGCATTCTCTGGAATGTGCATTATTGCCTTGAAAGTCTGTGGGCTTCTCTACTGCTTTATTGCATCAATACCAAGACCAGGAGTTCCTTGGCTTGCAGTCGAGCCAAATAGAGGCCCCTTGCTATCAAAACGTTTGACAATTCTGGGTTAGGAAAAGCTATGAAACACCATGCCAAACTCACAAAGACGACTCCCACGCAGGGTCCCACGAAACTGAAGATGAAGTAGTTCTGAGCCTCGAGCCAGCAGTAGCTGGGCGTCCCGAAGCTGTAGGGGTCGATGACGGCTGCCACGGACACCACGACAGCAGGTGCTATGTAGGCCAGGGCGCAGTACCACCAGAGACGGGACCGGTGGGTGTCCAGGGGCTCCACGAGGACCGTGTAGATCTGGAAGCCTTCGAGAAACATCCACGCAAAGGCGACCAGGAGGAAGTAGTGCAGGAGCCCCGCCACAACACCGCAGAGCACAGGCAAGTGCGTCTGCCCGATGCCGCCGATGAACACAAACTCGGAGACGAGCAGGCACAGTGTCAGGTTGCGATGGATCCAAAGTCTGTCGTTCTTCTTAAAACTGGAAAAAAATGAGTTGCACATATTTAAGACCGGAGACCAGAGGTGAGAAAAGGGGGACAGAACACCATATGTCTCGAACGCAGCTGACTAGAGGCTGGTTCACCCCCTTGCATTTGCTTACGACTGAGTTTTTGTAAACTCTTAAAATGGAGAACAGACTGGCATGCCGGTGCCATCGATAAGGTATGAGGTTGCCCTGGAACTGCATTTCACTGGAGCAAAGGTCTTGAGGTGTTTGCTAGATCAAATGTGCATACTGTTTACGAGACATGTCAGTTTCTAAGATTGTCAAAAGTTTTTCGAGCCAATAAAGAAAGAATGATGCGCAAAAAAATAGGAAATATATGGAAACCGTAAGTTTGACCAGGCTATTCAATTAATGGTGCCAGTGTATCCTTTCATTCTAAGAGATCACAACAGCTTGTAAAGCACTTGGATGTATGCAGTTGCAAGCATATGAACCAGCCTAATGTGCGATTGAAATGCCTTATTAAAGGCACCACTCCTCTACACAACACCCAACGATTTGGCACACATTCTTGTGCACCCCCCCCCCCCCCCCCCCCACCTTGCCATCTCATCGCCGTGCCCTCCACATCATGAAACAATGGTACAAAAAGCAGACGATTCCTTACAATGGCAGTAGCAGGGGCAACCTTTATCACCTAACAAAAGCATCCAAACTCAAAACAGTATAATGTTGTTCCCTTTCTCTTTCCTTCCTTTCTTGCAAAAGCAAACATTTTTGGATTGGTGCATCTAGTAGTGAGATTGAAGGATGGCTGATACAATCGACCTCATTGGAAATATACGGTGCCCCCACCGCCTGCTTGACACACTGCGAAGTTCCGATGTATGACATGTGAGAATGTCCAGCAATCGAAGACGAAGTTGACGTTGGTTTAGCATTTTGTGATTTCAGAATTCACAGAAGGCAGTAGGGAAGCAAAACAGAGTATGTAATGACCTGCTTTAGTGCCCGCTTTACTTTTTCTGCGTTCTGAGCTCGTAACAATAAGAGAGAATGGATCGTGCCCCTCTCATGATAAACAAAGCGTTTGAGTCGGCACAACATATATCTGAACAGCCCCACAATCCCCTCACTGCGAGGTCTCCAGGGACTTTGCAGAAATTTCTATTGCCTGGAAACATGATTCTGACTGCCCCTTTCAAAACCCATTTCGCATAGTTTTTTCCTTCACCTTATGGCAATTGCATAAAACAAGTGTTTACACTGTTGTTACTTTTTCTCAAGATATCTTATGATAGTGAAAATAAAAACATTGACCACCCCTGCCCGTTTCAATCTGGATGAGCATCGTACCGGCGTGCAGTCGTGTATCACTACTGCGTGGTGCACGTTAAAAACCCCAGGCTAGCGGTTGTACTGCACTGGCTAAATTGCTCATCTACAGCGTGTGACTCGTTGCAACTTTAATGGCAGACCAACTACACACTGTATAAATATCCCCACAACCCAATTATTATTAAAAACATTGAAAATGGGGAGAACAATCATATAAAAATATGCCACATTTTTATTGTGTCAAAGAGAAAGTCCTTCTTTCCCCACATAACATGTCCATGGAATCGACTCCCTGGTGCCATAGTTTTGGCTTCTGGTGAAACCTTAGAAACTATGCTTAAGCAGAATTTGTGGGAAGCATGCTATGACAACTCTGAATTCATTCGAAAAATTCATCCACATACAGAGCATTTCGAGGAAATGTTATCGTCAAAAGGGGCAATGTAGTCAACATACCTGAGGATGTGCAGGAGCACAATGGTTAGCAGAAGGAAAATGATTCCCAGGACACAACCCACTGTTGTGATCACCTTGAGTGTCCTCGGATCAGAACTGTAAGCCTGTAAAATACATTAGGACCATGCAAAACATGTATGAGTTTCCCATTTGCTTGTCCACCTGTTCACTAATTTCCCGCTGGAATTCAGAAACTCCAGCTGGATCTGTGCCTAGTCCATATGAACACAGCTGTTCTCACTAAACTCCAGCCGAACTTCAGCCGTAAGTAGGCATCTATTTTCAGATAGGCTATGTTCAGTATGCATTCGTGTAGGCCCTTCTTATGTTTACAAACACAAGCCCTCTCCTGCTTCCCAAGAGACATCTGGCCACTCTGTTTCGGCAGGCTTTTCATGCTTCTGTGTTACGATTTCAAGACGAATGAAGTGCTATGGAAGTTACAACGTTCGAAATTTAGCAAGGTTCTTATGCTGTGCTATTCAACGCAAAAGTAGTGATTGGTTGTCTTATGGAAGTATCATAATATCTCCCAACAAATCCTTTCCCGACCGATTCTTTAGCTAGGCGCCTAGAGAATAGGTGACGAGATATTTCATGAACATTGCGAGGAGCTGTGCTACGGCGGAGATGATTTCTCCTCTCATTTCGTTGGAAGTTCGCTGGGACGCTAATGGAAACAGCGTCTCCTCGGAGCACTCGTGTGAGAAAGGTCTATGTATAAACTCTGTGCATTAGCCAATGTTAGAAAATGTTTTGCTACCTGAAATGGCTGAACTTCCATGAGGACTGCGAAGTTGGTGAGGTGGTCGCAGGCACAGGTTGTGTGGGTTGAGTTGTACATGTGAACCCAGCAGCCCTCGGTAGACCACGTTTGCATGTCATAATTCCAGAAGACACACTGGGGGTTGGTGACGTTCTGTTCCTAAAGCACAAGAAAAAATATGCCCATTGGAGACTGACATCCTTAGATAGCAACCCCAGTTAAAACTTACAGCTGGCAATAAGTAATGTAGACTATGTAAATATTATCAATCTTTGCACCGGAGCCTACTGTGCTCAGCCTTCAAGGTTCCACTTAAAACCTGGCTCATTTGGCACAAAAGTCAAATGAAGTGTTGTGTTCTATACCAGAAGACAGCATCCTATAAAATTAGAAAAACCATTATCATGACTAACTACCCGTAACTAAGATATTAATCCCATGTGTGTTCGAACTGCAGTAGCTTTACTTAGTTTGGCGTGAAAATCAGATTATTTAGTGATAAGGTTTCATCTACACATAAAGTGCAGCTCAAAAATAAAATTTTTACAAGACAGAGCTAGCATCAGTGGACAAAAGATTCTTTATAATAGGTATAGTAATTTGAGATTTAACATCCAAGGGAAGACAGCATACAAAAAATTAGTACTAATCAGATGCAAAACATTCTGGTAAGGTGCATATTTGCTGCTGTTTGTTTTAAAAAATAAGATAGTGTCAAAAGACCACAAATCAATCAAATCCCAAAATAGGCAATAGAAAAATAAATCAACAAAAATATTTACACAGAACACACAGCTTAATGCCAGAACTTCTAAATAATAAAGTGTATTTATCCACACCAAAAATAAATCTTTTCTGAATCTGTATCTAGAACTGTGAGCGAGTAAAGAAAGTATTCATTGGCAGCCAGAGCTGTGCTCTGTGGTCAAGAATTCATCAGATTCCTTTTGCCTCATCAAAACTTTTGCTAATGACATAAAATATTAACCATGTTGAATATACCTGAGACTGGGGTAGAAAAGAACATAAAAGTCGAAGAAACAGAAAGGGACAGGACAATGTCTCAATGCTGTCCTGTCCCTTTCTTTATCTTTATCTCTGACATAAAATATGTTGCTTTTTCACAGATCTTTCTAATGATGACATGTGAATGCCTCCCATAGCAGCATTATGAGAGTATCCCAACCATTTCTCACAGTAATATTTTAAATACACTTGTAACATTGGCTTATTGAAAAAGAAACAATGTGATGTGGAAATACCTTTCTGTTACGGTATACTAGACGATGCTCACCTGTATGTGCTTCAGAGTGACCGTGATGGGTTGAGGAAGATGACTGTTCCGATGCCTGCCCACAGAGGCAGCGACCACTCGGGAGTTTACAACATGCGTCCCAGAGTTGAAGAGAACACTGGACCGCTCGCTGTAGCCTTCCTCCGGTCCATAGCCATCCATTCCTTGTCGAACCATTGGCTCGGGCCTGAGAAAGTCCTCCACGCCTTTGTACGCTATGAAGACGACTTTTCCGAGACCTGGGATACAAGGAATCATGGTTTGGTACATGAAGACAATGCCTATTAGGGGTTCCACGGTGATAAAGTTATACATGTATTGCTTAATTTCTGTAGTTTCATAGAAGCAACATGGAGATGTATTGGCCCTAAGTAACTCGAAAAGTATATGCATGTGATGTCTCGTTAATGTGGATACCCACCATATAGACATACCCTAGTTTTGGGGGGCAAACTTGGTAAATACGGTAAAATTCCTAATCTGTGCGAGACCCTAATTTTCGCAAATTTTGCGACTTGGAAATTTTGCAAACTTTAGGAGACGCGAGTATTTCTATACTGTCTAGAAAGGCAGATTCTAGCCTTTAGAATTCGCAAAACTGAATATGGTCGCAAATATGACCCGGCTGCCCAATTCCTGAAAAATTAAGGCCGCAAAATTAAAGGTGTGCATGCATCTTTATTCATTCATCCAACACTTTAATAATACTGTCATCCCATACAGGGCTCTTACAGGGTGAATTAAAAATGCATAATGAACATATACAGGTAGCTGGTACAAGATAAAAATGCTCCCGTTACAACAAATACAAAATAGTGTAATACGGAACAAGAAACAAAAACAAGTACCGCAGAATACCGTGCATCCGCCCATTCCACATTACGCACCCATATCCAAATGTCTAAGATCTGAGAAAATGTGCACAGTACATTTATATGTAAAATTAATAACCGGACAAGCACCCATCCCCCATTTTTTCTCAATTATCTCTAACTTTTGAGTGGGCGCTTGCCTGGTATTTTACGGTGTACATAAATTGCACTCTAAATGTACATCACTCAAAGATTGGGAAGAATCAAAGGAACACATCTCCAGAAGTTGATATCATACTAAGCGTAGTGAAATATATTAAACATAATGATGTCATGTCATTATTATGACCAATTCCCAGTAGGGATGAATTTCCGGAGGAATAAAGTTGTCTATATTAACGAGACATCACTGTGTACCGTAAAATATTGAGAAATCACACACAATTTGGAAAAGATCTTGGAAAAGCTGGTGGATGTTTGTTAGGTGTAATACAAAACATGCAGAAGCACATTCAGTATGGGTTATGGAAGAGAAGATGCAAAATCTGGTGGAAAGAGAGGCTGTTTTGATTAAAATATGTTATAGGGACACTGAGTATTGCTGTGAAAAGTTTAGGTTTTCAATTTTCCAATGAAAAAGGGTTATACTATATAAATGAAGCAGCAGTGAAAGCTTCAAAAACTAGCCAAAAATGTTTTTGAATTAATAAAAACAAAAAACGATTTGGCTACAATAACTATAGTGGCTTCTTTTTTTTCCAATTTGGCTAGTAAAACATTCTCTGGAGTTTGTTTTAGTAAAAAGGAAGAGAAACAACAAAAGTGCTTACCATGCTTAGAAAACTGTGCTATTGACTCTACAGGCAAAAGCATGGAGTCTTGCATGCCAGACCACGGTATGCTTTGGGTTTCGCTGGGTGATGGAAACTGGATGTTCATCGTCCACCTTGAATCAATCACCTTCACGGAGAGCACTGAAAATAGAAAACAAAGAGCATTCAAAAACGTTTAAAAATGAATTTTTCATTTTGTAAAAAAAAAATCAACTTTTGCTTATAAAGAATATATCAGAAGATCAGCATTCCAACAAAGCAAATGACTTATTATTTAGTATTAAATTTTCGAATTCCTGGACAATAGTAAACTTGTCAATTACTACTTAATGATAGGGGTGTCAAAATTATCGAAACTTCGAATGATTCGCGAATACCGTTCGAGGTATTCAAGTTTTTGGAATATTCGAAAATTACGAATAATGCCTCCGGAATTTGCCGATTTCTCACGCCAAGCTTCACCGCATCACACTGACAAACTAACTTCAGGCCTCTCCGCATCGCCTCAACAACCTTACGTCATGCTTCGCCGCATTGCACCAACAATCTTACGTCATGCTTCGCCGCATCGCACCAACATTGTGTCAGGTTTCACCGCATCGCGCCCAACAACCTTACATCAGGCTTCACCGCATCGCACCGACAACCTTGAAGGCCTTCCCCGTTTAGCACCAACAACAAACTTCATCGCTTAGCACAGGCGCGCGCAAGTCAAACTTCACTGCTTTGCACCGACGCGCTAGGAGAAACGACTGAAGCGGAGGAGCATCTCAAAGCAACCCCTTATATTGAAAGACACGGCTGGAAAAGAATGTGAATCTATATTCGAATAAATGAGGTACTTGCCGCTGTCCTATCAATGTTACATTATGTTTTACCCGGATCATCTTATCTGAAACTTTTTCTTTCTTTTTTATTGAACACAAGCACGCGAAGTGCTGTTCAAGCCATAAAACTTTTTGTTTTCATGGGGTTGCTCAAAAGGCATTCCAGCCGTGATTTATCGAAGTGCCCATGCTCAGTTCGCATTCAATGTAAAATATTGGTATTAAAAAAAAAGAAATTCTGAATTCGCGCTTACATTTTCTTTTTTTTTTTTTTAATATTCATATTTTAACTCGCTAAAAAAGAGGGGGACGAGAGTTCATTTATTAGCGTGCCAACTCAATAAATTTCCCCGATAAATTTATCGGGAACACCTAATTCGGTGGATAATTAAACACATACTCAATTTACTACGCAGTACCGTGAAAACGGCGTTGCGCGGAGGCAGGGGGAGACCGCCGAGCCAAGACCAGAAAAGCCCTGCTCATGACGTCATCATTCGGAGATTCCCGCACCGCCCCTAGCGGCAAACGCGCCAAAGCTCGACGAGAGGGTCGCCGCGAAGCGGCTGACGCGTCCGTCTTGGCGCCGCCACCTGGCGTTGCTCTCGTCATGAGACGCGCTGCAAAAGACGCCAGCGGCGACGCTGACGCAAGATATTATCGATGCCTGGATCTACTAAAGGACCACATTCGGGGGGGAAGTGCGCCGGCCCTGTCTTCTATCCGTCTAAAAAGACAAAGAGATCCCAAATTCTATCGCGCGTCGCATCTCCCTGGGCAACAGTCAAAGAGGAAGCGTAAATTTTTGTGCCGTTTTTCTTTTCGCAAGTAATTTCGTATTGTATCTTTGTTTAAACGGTGGGAAGTTGGTTCAAATGGACGCCCCGTGTCACCAGTGCGTAGACGAGAAACTTAGCCGGTGCAGTACCGCTCCGGAACACATCTTACAAACTAGAACTTAGTAGTCAAAATTACAAGCCACGTTATTTTTTTTTTTTTCTCACGAAGTTATTAAATTTTAAAATTAGGTTCGATATATATTTGTGCTGCGGAGAGCCGCGGCGCGGCAGAAAGGGAAGTCGCCCATAAGCAGCGCCGCTTCTAATGACGATGAAATGGTATTGTACAGATGAATTCTGTGGATGATGATGATGATGTGTGGGTTGATGAAAGGCTAAGACTAGCGGTGTCGCGAACCGGCCGAGGTTCGAGTTCGACCAGGTTCGCCTTTTTTGAACTTTTAGGAGAAAGTTCGACGAACCTCGTTATGAGGTCCGACTCGTGTGCGCATGCGCGACAGGCTGGCTACTTGGCTTCGGATTGGAAGCTGATGGCTAAGGGATGAATTTAGGGCGGCGCTGATTGGTTATTTCAGTTAATACACTACAAACAATTAAGTTATTAACTTCTTCGGTGATTATAAAATTGGTTTCTTTTAATTGCAACTCTTCATAAAATAAAATAACCCTTTACATAAAAAAAAAAAAAAAAATTCTCCAAACCTAGAGATGTTTGTATCAAGGTCTGGCCACACTGTCCACAAACGTCGAACCGGTCGAATCTGATAAAAAGTTTGAAGGTTTGTCGTACCGGTTCAACCCAGTTGCACCCCGAAAGTTCGACCTAAAATCCGGTTCGACAAAAGTTTGCGACACCCCTAGCTGAGACGCTCTACTGGCAGCGCTGAAGACGTGACGCCGACTGTATGCGGAGTGCAAGTTTGCCTCCTTCTTCTGTAGGGGTTATGGTTACGTCAGAACGTCGAGCTCTGATCGGTTTTGGTTGAAGGATAGTGGATAGAGCTCAAGGCAGCTTGCTTTGAGGTCTATCCAGTAGCCTTCAATTAGAGCCAATCGGAGCTCGGCGTCTTTCTGACGTCACCACTGCCTCTGCAAAAGAAGCAGACAAACTTGCGCTCCGCATAGGTTTGACCACAGGACCACAGGCTACAGCCATTAGCAACCATCCATCCATTCATCCATCCGTGTAGTAATACCGGGGCAGTACGGCTCGTTCCCCACGGGTGATAAGAAGCTTGAGGGTGTGAAATGAATGCTGCGAGAAACTTGCGCCAGCAAGATGAAAAATAAAACCCGCCAAACTATATTTGTTCTTGTTTTTTTCTCGCCCCACTGTAGAGCGCTGGAAAATTTTGAATGTTAGTTTTTAGCATAGCCTTCGATTGCCATTTTTTCACAAACTATCGTCGATTTAGAGATTATGAATAGTATGCAATGAAGAGTGAAGCCTGCGTATTCCAATAATGTGTTTAGTTTGTGTAACCAAAAATAAAAAAAAAATAAAACGCCGGAGCTTTTAGCCGTAGTCTTACTACTCATACATAATACAACAAACAAACATGGTGTTTGCTGAGGACACCCTTCAATCGCGTTGAGAGCATCTTTGCTCCATACAACTGTATGCTTCGAACAATGTCTGGTGATAGTTTTCGTGTAACCAATGTGACAGACCTCAGGCAGTGTCGGCAGATATCGGCAGACTGTCTTTGCTACGGTGTGTATAGGGAGTATTCACTGGCGGCCATATCTGTGTGCGCGGCTGCTGAGCGCGTGCTGACGGCGAGCTTCCGCAGTCCTTTTGGAGCGTGCATTTAGCACCATCAAGGTTGCCGGTCTTAGCAGGCTATTAATGTGAGCTCGTTCTGAGCATGCGCACTAAACATCGCCCTCAAATATGGCGTCCAGTGAATACCTCCTATTAGCAGCGCGACCACGGCTTTAACCCGCCTCACGTGGTAGAAGTGATTACACGAACACACGCTGATACGACGCTCGTCCAGATCGAAGCGGGAAGGGCAGCCAGCGGTGTCGAAAAATGTCAGTGACCCGCCGCGCGCGACCGGGCGCGCGCTCCTCCGAGGATCGATCTCGTACTCCGGGCGACTACACCCAACACCGCTTGTTTCCGCGAGTGCATTAACATATTCAGAGAGATTCATTGAGTTGGCACGCTAATAAAACATAAATATATTTCAAAAAGTTTATTTTCCTCTTTTTTTTTTCTGAATTGCTAAAAGGGCGTTACGCATTTATCGTCTCGCCACTGCACACAGAGGCCGTCGTTCGCTCGGGCGGAGTTATCTCCGCTTTGCACCCAAAACCGTTCAGAACTACACGTTGTTGTAGCTGTTGGTCCCTTTTTTTTTTTTTTTTTTTTTTGTTGGGGAAACAACAGGCTAAGCTCGCCTTTCGTTGTCATCGGTAAAATGGATTGAAACTTCTACACGTTGAGTTCGATTGGACGTAAACATACTTAGGCGACGGCGCGCGCGCGCGCTCTGTCCAGCGGTTCGGTATATACATGCTGGAGGTGCGTTGCAAAAGAGGAGAAAATCGATAAAAAAAAGTAAATAAAGAGAAGTTAACGTCAGCGAACAAGCCCATAATGAAAAATCAATTCAAGCCACCCCTTGTAGCGTTTCAATAGTAGACCCTTTTAAAAAGTGCGCGCGCCATCTGGTAGGTGTCCCGACAATTACCAAAGTCGGCCATTGTTGGGGCACGTACACTCTGAGCATGTATTGGGAGACGAGTGCTGCACGTCAGCGTTCGGAGGAGGCTCGGAGCCAATCAGAAGCTTCGTGCCCAGGAAAAGGCGATCGCCCGTGGTGATCGATGGGGTTTTGAAAGGGGTTACGAAGTATATTGTCGAGAACCGGTTATAACGAAGTCGGTTATAACGAAATAGCGGCTACAGCGAAGCGATCACAATTTCCCATTCCCTATTGCACTTCGTTATAACCGAAGTCGGTTATAACGGAATAGCGGATATTGCGAAGTGATTTCCAATTCTCGCTGACTTCGTTGTAACTGGTCTCGACAGTATAGACTTTTCCAGCGTTTATCACCCGGGCAAAAAAAATGGCCTAGACACTGAGCTGCGGTCGGTGCGCAGCGTACGATATGCCGCGCAATGGACGTACGCTCAGGCGGCGTTGCACGGCCGAGCAGACAAAGATGGCAGCGTGCAGAAGGCAATTTTCGAAAGGGTCTATATACTGCACTTTTGGAGAGAGGCTGCAGATAATATTTTAACCAAATAGCTTTTATAGCTCTTCTTTTTAGTAACGCTTCTGCTTCAGAGTAATCGTCTGTATCTTAAAGATAGATGCGAACTATACCTAGATGCAATAAAATAAATAGAAATTGTAATATATATATATATATATATATATATATATATATATATATATATATATATACAGGATTTTTTAAGCTTAACATATTTGTTTAAAAAAGCCATGAAAGTTACACTCATGCCGCTTGTGGAGGTGAGTTATACGGCCAGAGGGACACATTATAGGGGGCTAATCGTAACGATCAGTCGTCTAATCAATTAAAATTCGTTAATTAACTTTTCAATTAATGAAAATAGACATATGGTTCCACTTAGAAACTTGCTCAGCGTCATCGAAAACCACTAAATCAGTCATTTTCACAGAAGACTTTCGGCGCGTGACAAGCCTAGCATTGTACCAAAGTTACCACTCGCGAAGCAGGTACAAGGCTGGGGCTAGATAAGAGACGGAAAAATCGCGCGGGCGCCTTATCGCAACCGCTAGCTTTGTACCTGCTCCACGAGTGGTAACTTCAGTGCACTACTCCGCTTCTCACGCGCTCAAAGTCTTTCAGAAAATTACTGATTTAGTGGTTTTCGATGACGCTGAGGAAGTTTCTAATTGGAACCATATGACTATTTTCATTAATGAAAAAGTTAATTAACAAATTTTAGTTAATTAGTCGACAGGTTGTTACGATTAGCCCCTTACAATATGTCCCCCTGGCCGTATAACTCACCTCCAAAAGCGGCATAAGTGTAACTTTCCCGGCTTTCTTTAAACAAATCTGTTAAGCATAAAAAAACACCCTGTGTATGTATTCGCATATATATTGTCGTAATAGGAAAACTGGGTTGTATGTTTTGTTTTCAAGACGCCATTTTTAACAGATTTTTACTGAACTGGGTTCTACTGGGCATAAACACCTGTTGTCTTTCTTTCGCTTCAATACCAAGGTTCTTAGCAAATATGTACATGTCTCACCTCGCACGCATAACCCCATCCCAGAAATGTACGAAGGGTATAAACATTTAAAATTATTAATAAAAAAATCAAAGAAACTAAAAAAAGATCAATAACTCACGTATGTTGGATTTGACGACGGGAAAGAACGACTCTGTGGAGAACGAATCGGCCAACAGCAAAGCACTCTCTTCCAGCGCAGCCATCAGCATCGTCAGAACTTGCTTCTGGTCGACGGAGCTCAGGTCGTGCCAGGCCGCTCGCTGCTTGGCTTCCAGCAGGTTGCTGGCGGTCTCCGAGATGGCCTACAAACAGACAGGTTGACATTACTTATAGAAGGCGTCCGGCTGTCTCGATCGGCGAAAGACGAGTACCTTAAAGTCGTGGTCAGACTGGCAATAGACCAAACGACAGACGGTCTGAAGATAGTATTTCATTACTTGTATGACGGTCACATTGTACGTAGAAAAACATTGTATGCAGAGATGTTCAAAGCATGTATGAAGCACACGTACTTCGAGCATGCTCACTCCAGTAGCGAGATGCCGCCGGGATCCAGAAGCGGTACCAACAAACCTCTATCGGGTAACCCAGTTTCTTCTTTTGACGAGACATACCCCACGAAAGGTGCCAGATATGTGGAGTTCGGAATCGAACCGGCTTCCCTTGGACCAAACTATATCGAGTGCACCCCCGTTCGCCTCGTCCCTTCGAGCGAGAAACTAAACAAAATTCCCAGTATCTGGGAAAGCACTATTTGTTTTTGGTTTCGATTGAAGCACATTAAATCGTCGTGGAAAAACGGTACAAGCTTAAGAAAAAGAGTAGAAACGATTCTCAAGTTGAAATTAGAAGCTTGCCTCGTTTGGTAGTTTCCACGCGACTCGCGGTGTGTCGGCAAATTGTTTTCAGATCCATTGGCACACCTATTTCGATAACGAACTTTGAAGTGCTGTGATCGAAGTCTGGGACGGAAAGAGGTCCATCTTTCAAACGCTTACTACGGCTTTGTCCGTTTTTTTTTACTACGCACACGAAACCCACGATTCGGTTCGTATATCGCGTACGTCCTCAATTGCCTAGGATAGCCTAAAGAAGGCAAAGGGGGAAAAAACAAAAATACGCTACTCTTTTTTTTTTTAATATAATTTTACGTTAAGTCCAGACGCAGCTGACCTTAAGAGCTGATGGTACCAATCAGACAGCGTCAAAAGCGCATCATCATGGTGTTCGTCATGTTTCCGTACGCGTTCTATCATCGCTCAACCACAAAGAGAAAAGGCCTAGTGACTTGAGCTTTTAACGCTGCTTCATCAGACCCCTTAGCTCGTAGCGTCGGCTACGCCTGGACCCAAGCTGAAACCAAGTATAGGGGTGTGCGAACATCGCTTTGAATAAAACATCACACTGCCATCGCCAGCTTCAACACTAAATAAAGGCGACCATTCTTATCATTCTGAAGGTTATGGATGATGCAGCGCTATTCAGTTCTAAACTATACATTCGCACGCCCATACACTTTTCTCTGGCCTGCCTGTTATAGTCCGTTTCACCGTAAGTACGATTGCCCCCAACGCTACGATCTGAATGAAGCCAATCAACCAGCGGAAAAAGTGCATGGTCACGGTGATCGTCGTCTTTGTGCGTTTGGTCCTCACCCAGTGGCGTAGGCAGAGGGGGGGTTTGGGGGATGGAAACCCGCCCCCCCCCCCCCCCCCGAAATGCCAAAGCTTACCCCCCCCCCCCTCCCACACACACACACACGCACGGGGCCAGCTCGCCCCCCTGCTCACGCGGTCGGTTTTGCACGAGACACGGAACAACGGGAAACGGCGGACCATCTCCAACTTATATGCCTTCGGAAAAATTGTTTGTGGGGTAGGGATGCGGAACTTGATCTCGGATCTATAGAAAACGGATATTTCGAAACATTTGTGGGGTGAAGATTGTAATTTCATGGCAAAGTAAAACAAACTATCCTCACTGAAATATATAGTTAAATCAAACTCAAGGAACATAATAAAACGCACACATGGTAATAATATAAAAAGATGTCAGTAATCTAAGGAATAATAAATGAATTGTAACAAAAAAAAAAAAAAAATTGCACTGTAAGCAACAGGTGTCGCTGCGCTCACGCAACCCTTTGTCATCAGAATTACGTGCTTTCGACTAGACATTGCCGCGAATAAAAAGGTAACTGTTAGAAAGCAATTTGCAGGTTCTCTTTATCATCTCATTTATGCCAAGCGCCTAGACATTAAAATGCAGCCGCCTGCATTCACGGGAAAAGATGTCCCGGACGTCCTCCGCTTGAACTTTAATGTCGCGGTGAACATTCAAAACCGCTATACTTCGTTTCAGCTTGGGTCCAGACGCAGCCGGTGCTACAACCCCGAGATCCGGGCTTTCAGCGTCTCTGCCAAGCAGGCGTGCTCGTGCAGTGCAAGCACTGTTCAGGGCCACATGCTCGCGCTTGTAGCATCGACTGCGTCTGGACTTAAGCTGAAACAAAGTATAGACCGGGCAGTCGCTCATTCTCAGTGGACGCTGTCAGTTATGTTTTCAACCGTCGTAGTGAAGAAAACGAACGCACAGCTTCCACCGTTGTTAAGAGCAAAGTCGAGACGATGGGCGTTCTGAGATAGGGCCTCCGGACATAGGGCAACCGCCTGTATACCGCAGACGTGACGGGCGCTTCACGTTTCTTTTTCTTGCATTGGACGTCTAAAATTTCCCCATTTTTCGCGAAGTTCTGCTCACTTTGCAAAAATCGTCGCTCACGGATGTGAAAAAGTCCGTCTTGCTTTCTGCTTTGTATGACGAGGCGGTGACCGTTGCGATTCCTTATTAGATTAACCTTTTCGTTGAACGGAACATCAGAAACTCCGAAGAGACAAGCCCTTATATTCTCACTACGCATAGGCGGAAGGGTAGTCAAGTTCCTTTCCACGTTCGGCGTGCAGTTTTGTGTTGTGTGTCATGTCGTTTCTCCGAGTGACGGAACGACAAGTTCGGAGTGATGACTTCTCCCTACCCCGAGGGTGTGCTGCTGCTGCATTTGGACCACGCTGCAAGATAAAGCGGCCTAGCAAAAATAACACTCTCTTTCCTTCGGCATCTGGTTCTGTAGCACGAATAAAACCTTTAATAGATAATAGATTTTAGTTTTGTGATTGCTCGGAATTATCTTCGCCTTAAATATGGGCCCGTATGTTTGTGCGTGGTCGGTTGCTCCAAATTTTCAACGTCTAGATATTTTTTTTTTTTGCTGCTTACTCTTTTTTTTGCGAAAGTATAGCTATATTTGTGTTTTGTCTGACCTTCACGCGTTGGTAATGCAGTGCTACCTCAAAAAGCGGGAGAAGTTGTGTGGTGTGAGAAAGCTTTTGAAATTAGTGGGCCGGAACTATGACGACAGTCGAACGGTGAGCCACAACGCCCGTATTCCTGTAAATGAACCCTGCGGATCCGTTTTGAAAAATGACAATGCAGCTTTACCCGATTTATCTTAACAGCGCCTCCCTAATTTTTGCATGAGTGTCCAAGTAGGCAAGGGGGGGGGGGAATGTCGTTGAACCCCTCCCGAAATAAAATCCTGTCTACGTAACTGTCCACACCACCTAGACAGAGGGCCTCCGCACGCGTCATCACAGTTAGATCGATCAAGGTCCGAGATTGGTCACGAGTGCTGCGTCAGTGTTCGTCTGGGACTCGTGTCCAATCAGCGCGTCGTATGTCGGGCTCGGGCCCAGTAGCCTAGTTAGAGCGATCCGACTCTGATAACGTTTCATGAAGGAAGAGCAGACCATGTGGAGGCTTTCATTATTCTAGGTGGGGCTGGTTTGGTAGCCCCGGAACACCGCGATCACGCACAGTAAATTCTCCATGATCCCTCGCTTTTCTTTTCGCGCGTGATTGGTTTAAGCGTTGATAGCGAATGTACAAAGAGGACGACTGCGTGACGATGGATATTTTGGCGCCTCTCAAGCGCTTCCATTGGATAGGGACATCAGCTGGTCGGACTTAATTTGAAACATAGTAGGGTAAGTGTTCAAACATACATCGCTATCAGATCAAGGGGAATCATTGCGCATGCGCATTTCATTGTCGGCACAGGCCAATAGAATAGCATGGGCATCAAGGAAACGGTTCCAAAATAAGAGTTACAAGCACCACAACAACGAACCTTCCCGAAAAACTAAGAGCACCGATTATTAAAAAAAAAAAAAGAACATACAAAAAATAGACACAAACAAGAACCGCCGTGACGATGTCCCGCGTATACGTTATCACAAATCTCCCACGGAGATATGAGCGCAACTCCCGCCGGTCAGGCGATCCATTCCTCCCGCCGCGTTAGCGCGGGGGCTATTCGCGCCGGAACTTAGGTCGGGGAGGGGACACAGCGTGTCGTGGCGGTACACAGAAACGAACTGCCCGGGCGTCTTACGCCCCAGCGGCCAGGCCAAACGACGCGTCCACCAGCTGTATACGAGTACCCCGGGCTTCGCGAAAGAGCCGTAGGGACGTGAAACGCCAGCTGGGACCCCCGAGTGTCCATATACACACCTCGCAGCACACCGTGACTCAGCACACGTGGAGCACAGAGGACCAAGTAGAAGAAGACACAAAAAGAACAAGAAGGAAGGGAGGGAAAAAAAAGGCGATACTGCCATAAGCAATCATCGCGACGGAGGTTACACCCAGGGAGCGCGTCTGGTGATTAATAGGTGCGACGGAACCGGTGTACCGTAACGTATACCGGGTGCTTTTAGTGTGTATAACGTACACGAGGCGTGCGCGACGACGTGCTGCGTGAGTCAGCGCCGTAGTTCGGGGCGTGTTTGGGCCGGTTCGTCGCGCTTCAGCGAACAGGTCGCTCGTGGGACAGAACTGGAAGCGTTTGGAGGATAATCTGGAGTTATCGAGACACGGGTTGTTTGCGGATTATCGCGGCATTTTAAAACACGTTGCGATCGAGTCTAGTGAGGTCGGGAAGACGACAAAAAAGGGGCGGTGTTCCGGATCGCAGCGCGAGGTTCTCGGCCACGCTAAGGATTCCAGATAAGAGAAGCGTACGCATTTTTGAAGGTAGTGAGAAGCTTTGCGGTCGGCACGTTCTTTCAAACAAATGTGCTCGTCAGGCACGTTCACCGTAGTGACTTGAAAACGTAAAACACATTGCACAGCCTCACGATTTGCTGCCATACTTGTTAACATTGTCGCGGTGACTTAACACAGCAAACAAAACGTGAAGATGGGGAGCAGTTGACAACTTTCAAACACATGAGCGGATTTTTTCATTTCTTTTTTTTTTTTTTTTTTTTTTTTGCAGTGTTTTGCTTGTTATCACAAAAGCAGTAATTCAGAATTTTCAAAGAAGCCCCCTTACCAGATGGAGGAACATTGTCTGACGCTAAGCAACCCACGACATTCCAACCTGTCAGACTTAAGGAAAAAAGATTTAAAAAAGAAGTACACTCACGTCTAGAAGCTCTTTGAAGACCTGTTCCCGATGCCAGGCGTCCAGAAAGGTCTCCATGCTGCTGACCGCCTTGGAGAGCATCTGCTGGACGATGGCAGCAATGTGCTTGACGTCTTGGCTGAACAGCGACTTGGTCTGGGTCATCAGCGACAGGTCGATGGCCACGCTGATGATGGACTCGCCGCTCTCCAGCTGCGCCCGGACGTGGCCAGGAGACCCAGTTTGGTCATTCGATCCCGTGGAAGGTTCGACCACACCCCGATCGCGATTGCCATCTTAAGTGCTCTGTCCGTTAAAGCCGCCGTCACGTTGCTAATCCATCGCACAAAATACAGTATGAAGACACTGTCCGAGGCATTTCTTGTGTGACCGTCCCATTGGTCATACAAAAACTCTCATGTACGAAGCGCACATGCGCATGAAGAAAACTTGCGTCGAACACGCGAGAGGGCACCTCCACAGAAAATTATGCCGTATTGTCGGCAACGAAACACCGTGTCTCTGTATGACGCACGAGCCGTCTGCGGCTTTAGGATTGTTCTGACGTTTCCGTTTGAGTGAGACCGACTGCATTGGTGCCTGCACAAGGTGAAGGCACGAACTCCACAACGCAAGTCTCCGGAGAACATTGTGCAAAACGTGCTTGTTGTCTGACAAAATGTGAAACACAGAGCGAGATGCAGGGCGAACCGGGGTATTCGCGACAAGCTCTGCGTCGTTCGTCTTCATCTCGACGTGTTGTAACTATCATAAGCTGTTTCAAACTCCAACAAAGACATCTACAAGATAGTACTCGTTTCGCGTCCGCAGACACAGCTGACCGATGGTCTGCTCGGTGTGAACGACGGGAGGCCTCTATAATATACGAGCAAAAAGAAAGACGGAGCAACAACTAAAAACCGAGAAAACGTTCTCTCTATTACCCCGTTCTTCGAACCTTCGCGTTTCGTCCCGCGACCATCATCAAAAAAGGACAAGAGCCGAGCACTCCGCTTATGCCGTAATGAATCTTCCTCCCTCTCCACGCCGCTACGGCCTTCCTCGGGCAGTCTGCAAGATGGCGAGTGGACGCCGTTCCCTCTTAAGCAGACAGTACGGTGGGAGCTACGGGCTCAGCGGACCAACCAACCACCTCCCTTTCACCGCGTGATCCCGCTCTCTACGCGTGGGGTTGGACGGCAGCGAGATCACGCGGCGAACGATGAACGCACGATTGGTCCAACAAGCACCTATGACTTCCACCCTGCTATCAACCTAGGAGTAAACGGAGATGAAAAAAGAAGAAAAAGAAAGGGTTGGAGGAGAAATCCGGGGGAGGGGCGGACCAATTGAGGATGATTGCAGGGAGATGCGAGGATCCGATAAGGTCTCGGGCGAGGGAAGGCATTCATTAGGCCTAAGCTCACCCGTTCTCGGAGGTTCTCGACCCAGAGCGAGCGGCACAGGCGCAGGTCGGGCTTGTCCGGTGTCCAACGCAGTCCGCCGCGGCTGCAGCGCCACTTCGCCACACCTGCGCGAGAGCGAGTTGGGAAGGGACACGTCGTCAACTGTTGTAGGTCGCCTCTGTCGCGCGGGGACACGTGGGCGACGTTTTGGAGGGGTCGTCGCCGCCCGGTCGCTGCTATGCAACGGGTCGCGTTCCTTTATTATTTTTTATTTGTTGAGTTTTATTTTGATTAATGTAGCACGGATGCCGTCGTTCCGTCAAGCGGACGACACCGAGCATTTGAGCGGCCGACGCTCCTGCAAGACGTGGGCTGTGGCTCGCTGACACTTCGTTGATTTATTTGATTTTTTTTTAATTTATTTACTTCTTTGGAAAATACAGCCAATTCCAGGGTAGTGGTTAAGGCGGGAAGGAATACGAAATGGGTACATAATAGATCAGGACTCGTCACCAAATCATGCACGCAAAATGGCAAAGTATAAATAACACAGGTGCGAGCGCAGGCTACGCTTCGACCGTGGGTTGTACTCTAACGACAAATACCTAACCACACACACACACACAAAAAAATGAAATTGACTGCAGCAGTTTGTAATGGCCGAACTCGATTGTCTTTACTGGCACTCCTAAGTTGGTGGATGTGACATATGCATAATTCTCAAGCTTATGAACAATCTCGGCCGCCGATCTACGTCGAAGAGCTCCACACGTCTCTGCTTCCGCCACAATGCCGCAACAAGTACAACCCGTCTCAGATCACCAACAACGAAAACGGTCAATGCAACACACGATGCAAAATATGACCCGCGAGCGGTCGAGCACGTATACACCGAGAGAAGACACTCGACTGCCCACGACAACTAGAACGACCACACCAACGAAGGAAGGTATTTCACACCCCAAAAGCAGACGCGTCGTCGTTGATAACAAAAGAAAGTTTTTAAGCCGCCGTCTCCCTGCCAATTTATCACACAAAGTACAGTCTGCAGAAATGTTTCGGAGCATACATGGATGAAACAAGCAGGATTCCTACACATGTCTGACGCGTGAGCGGTGTGAATACGATTTTCGTATATCGTTCCGGCAAAATGCGCCGGCGGACAAACGGTTATCACTTGGAACGCCCAACTAAAACCCTCCAAGAGCAGCCTCAGCAGAATCGTTTCAGCATTCGAGATGGACCGCAACGAAGCTTTCCCACGCGTGATTCCCACTGATTCTGACGTCTGACTGAAGGCAAGCGGTGACGCGCCGCGTTCCCCAGTTCCCGATTGGTTCATTAGTCCGACCGGCGCCGCGCCCCAAATGCGCTGATTGGCTAAAGCTGGTTCACAGCGTTCGCTTCGGTCCATCTCTGAGTCGGGACGCGGTGCTCGCGCGGTGCTGCGCTTGCAATCTGACGGGGCGGAGTCTATTATTAGCGTGACATCAATTACGCGGGCCCTGATTATTCGAGTCATGTCCCGGGCGTCTTGAGTTCCGGTCCCTCGTTGACACGTTCCGACGTTCGGGCGACGTTCGGGCAGCCCGGAAGAAGGCAGCGCGGTGACGTCTTCCGTTCGACTCGTTTATTTTTGGGCACTAGTTCCGGCGAGTGCGTACGTGCTCTTCCGGAAAGAATTAAAAACAAAACACATAAAAACATTGACGTTTTTGTTGATGTTTTTACGAGCTTCTGACGTTTGAGCGACGTGAAACTGTCAGAAGACTTTGGTCCACCTGGAAAAGTTATTTTTTTATTTATTTGGATCAGGGGGGATTTCAAAACTTGTGTGTGCGTTGCGGGAAAGGGGAGGGGGATCGAACAAAACGCTCGTGTTTTGCACCGCTAATTATGGGTCCTCTATATACCTCAACTAGTTCCAGATATATTGGCCTACAGTCCGCGAAATCAAAGTGGTCTAGATGACATTTTCGAAACGTGGGTCGGGAATATTTTTTGCGAAGTGAAGCGATGTGCTCCAAGTCCCGGCACACACTCCAGTGCGTGTATACAACGAGCGTGGTTGGGGAGTATACAACTCCACTACGCGCTCTTTATATTTGAATCTCGTGACAAAGTGTTCGGCCCGCGTCCATGTCCGACTAGAAAGGGGTTGTGCCCGTTACAACGCGCCGTTCGCAACTCAAACATCCGTCGTAGCCCGCGCTCGTAAATGCTTTGGGCGCGGCGGTAGGGGCGTGGCACTTGTCTGCGTTTCGCCGAGGGCCGGGGTATCAGGTGCCGCGTGTTTCCAACTTTCGCTTATTAATTTTCAGCGGACTCGCGGATTTAATCAAGAAGTGCTCTTCCTGTCCGCTTGGTTTCTTGTTTTACATCAACGTTTGAATTATTACTCGTTTTGTGTAGATGCACTCGAATTGTTTTAATTGTTTTTTGCCGTTACTTTTTTTTTTATGAATATAAAGAATGAGGTTTGCGGACGACACGAGTGGAGAGTTGTACTTAAAATTTCCCATTCTCAAAAACCTTTTAGGGTACGGCCTTACAACTGGAAATTTTCCAGTACTCTTGTCGATCGTGAGGGTCTAGCATACGCGAAGCTGGAAATACTCGCCCCACCAATTAGTAATTACACATAACAAAAAGAAGAAAAAAAAATGTGGGTGTCATTGTTAATGCCCATAAAGAAAGAGCAATGAAACCTTCCCGCCACACCAGTTGTTTCAATTTTGGACTTTAAATCGTAAATTAAAATTAAAAAAAAAAGTCGAATTGTGTTAACAGCGTTGCGCAATGCGTATGCCCACCTGCAGCTCGATATAGCCCCAGAGACGAATAAACTTTAAATCAGCCAAATAAAATGAAGCAGGTTTTTGACGATTGTATTTATCTCGTTCGATCATGTGTGGTCATTTTACCAAAAAGCTCAACGTTCCAACCAGCACAGTTTCTTTGGCCAAAATTCGAGTTTTGTCTTGAAATTCAGGGTCTTTAAGAGCCCAAGGAAGCCAATGTAAAGCCGAACTATACGTTTTTCTTTTTTTGGTTAGAGTCCGGGTGTTTTGGCCCTAACTTTGCCAAAGAAGAGCCAGAGTTGGGCTTCACTGCTTGTCCTTTCGGTCACGCGTGGCATCTTCGGCTCAAGCCTAGCGCTTTCGCAATGATGGGACGAGCCAGAGAAAAGCATCAGGAACGCCAGACAAAAGTCCTCTGCCATTAATTGACGCCTTTGAGCAAGGTCGTATATTAGGCACAAGTTTGGCCCCAACATTGCGAAGCTTGTGTAAAGTTGGGCGTTTCTCTGCCGTGCTACACCAGGAGACCTTTCCGGCATTTTGAAACATGCACACAGTGTAAATATGTTGCTGTATTAGTCGAGATGTTTACTGCTTTTAAGATCCATTAGTCTGCCCCGGAAACAGTTCGTTTATGTAAAACGTAAATGCGTCGCACTCTTACGAAAAAAAAAACAACAGAAAAAAAACACGGGACGCTACCGCTTTCCAATTGGTTATAGTATGTCACACCGCCAGATATAAATTGAATCCAGACGAAAGCCTGATAACAATTTACGGATACAAATTTATAATACGAGTAACAAACTGTTCGCTATATCGAAACACACGAAGAAATATAAATAAACACAGTGGTGTCGTTTGGCCCGTATGTGATGTAGTACCATTTTTCTGTATAATGTTCACGAATAAGTGTACTATCGGAAACAATATGAGGCATGAAAGCGCCTCGGCGGCGACAAGCGGAGACGCGTTCACGTTCATATTGCTTTCGATAGTACCATCCTCAGTAATAATATAAAAAAGAACATCCGGTGAACGAATACGTTAATTGCGTAAAATGTGGCTTCATATTTTAGGCAACCGTGTGACCCTGCTACAAAAGAACACCCGACCAAAGTATTGCAAAGGGCGTCAGGATGGAATATAAACCACGGTTTCTATTCTCACAAATCTCCATGCGGTCAGGGTCACATGCATCGGTACTTTAGCAGAGGGATCGTCAACTCTGTGCAGCATCAAGGCCACACTTCCCAGACAACAAGGCCTTAGTGATGAATTTAAAACGTCACTACTCGGAGGCCAGCGTGGAGTACGCATTGAACGTGAGTGCTACGGGACGTCAGCGTTCGGGTGGTAATCGTGCTCGCCAAATAAATGCCATCGCCTCCCACGCTGCTACAGAACTCGTGCTCCACGCCGTGCACGCGCTGGCCTTCTTAGGATGACATAGCAGCACTAAGGCCTCTTTATTTAGAAGGTATTTGATCGAGGCCCTTAGTTGTCGCGCGCACCCTTCAGCGCCCCAGGTGCATAAAGACGGCAAAACTTTCGCAACCCCGCAGACCACAAGAACCTCGTAAGGGTTAAGCAAACCAATCAGGTCCTGCCAACGTGGCGGCACCGCGGCGGCAATGACGCCTTCGCTAAAAGGAGCAACGCCCCCACCCTGGGTGCTTTCCCTTCCAACCAGAGCCAATATATCATACTATACACACACACGCACGCACCCCGGCGGCGTTTGTTGAAATCGAGATGTGTAATTACGGGGACACAATGACGTAAGGCCTCCAATATCGCCGTCCAGCGGAGCGGCTAATTCGACCCCGGCTGCAGCCTCGGGAGAAAGGCTGAGGACACGACCGGTTCGCGAACAATGAAATATTCAGCGGCCGCTTCTTGAAGTTTTAATCAGCCTCCGAGAATGCCTTCACCGCCGCCGCTCAAGTACCTCTTGTCAACCCCCCCCCCCCCCCCCCCGGCCCTCCTTCCCCTTTTCTTTTCTTCGTCCTTACGATCTGGCCTAAATGCGAGGGAGAAAGCGTAAAATAATAGTAATAAAAAAGAACCGCAAGACTCCCAAATAATTGCCTTCATTATCGCCATTCATTAATCTCTCTTTATTAGGTCGTTATTCTCTGGTCGTCGCCACCGTTTTTGGTCCTTTTTCTTCTTTTGGAGGCTCCGGAAAGCACGAATATCTGTGTGTGTGTATGTGCGTGTTGTCTTTTAGTTGTCGTACGATGTCCAAAAAACAGGACGTCTAGCAAAAGTAAACAATGAATTTCGTTAGTGTGTAGAGGGCCAAAAAAATGGCGGCCGAAAATGGGCAGCTGTGGATCACGTTTGTACGGCGACGTTAAGGATTCTGTTCGGGTTAAGAGAAGTAAAGAACGCGCGCGCGTGTTTGTGTGTGTGTGTTTTCTCGTCTCTTGACTAAAGTGCTGTAATGACCCAAGTCAAGCATCGGCTCTGGCAGAGATTAACGCTGTTTTCTGGTTTTGTCTTTTTGTCGCGAAAACAGACGACATTAGCTAACGCAAACGAGAAGGCAGAGTGTATTATACGCACGCACGTTGCGAGTCCTTGACTCTTACGGGTCAGAGAGCTTCACATGCCTGCACATTAAAGTGTCCTATTCAGGCGGGGAAACACCACCAAGAATAATCAAGGCCTGCGGACACGCTCCTCTCTGCCTCCATGGAACGAATGGCGCCAGCTCAGCAATTGAGCCCGAGCGTCCTTCGACGCGTTCATTGGACACGAGGACCAGCCGAACACTGACGCAGCACTCGTATCCAATCTGCGTTCTTCGCTCGAGCTCATGGTGATGACGTCACAATTGTAGTACACAGGTCTTAATTATTTCAGGCAGTGTTGGGTAGGGTACCCCATACGCGTCTGTCTTACACTTGTGACATCAAACCGGGTTTTTGCTGCGATACTTCATCTTTGTTCAGAGGAGCATGTAAATAAGGGCGACTCTCCGGGCAGTGATTTCCCTACACTATAGCTAGGGCGGGGTGGGGTTGTACAGGGTGAAACAAGGAGACGGCAGGCTCTTTAAATCGACCGGAAAATTCGGTTTCTTAACCTATCGCGCTACGACTTTGTGCAGCGTTGCCCACAGATAGTGCATTTGTTTTGTGAAGTTTGGGAAGAGCGAACTTACCTGAGGAAAAAGTAAAGAAAGAGAAAGGCTTAGCTCCTATGGAAGCGCAGCGACGCCACCGGTCTGCAAACAACACGGCGACGTTTCGCACGGGAGACAAGAGATGGCGCAACAAACGCCGCCAACGAACGAGCATAAGGCGCCGAGAGCAGGCTTTTTTAGCAGACGACCTATTCGACTCAAAAGCGGCGCGCGTTCCGCAGGCGGCGACAGTCGCAGAAACACAAAAGACAGGCACGGTAACAGCAAGGAACTGCAGTTCCTTGTCTGAAAAAGGGCCGGCTCTCGGCGTCGTCTGCTCGTTCGTTGGCGGCAGTTGGCGTCGCGACCGCTTGCAACGCTGCACAAAGTCGTAGCGCGATAGGTAAAGAAACAAATTTTCCGGTCGATTTAAAGAGCCTGGCGTCTCCTTGTTTCACCCTGTACACCCCCCCCCCCCCTTGTTTTTCCAAAGGCACCCCTTAATTCGCAACGACTCCTCTATTCTCAACGCCCCCCCACCCCTATTTCAATTCCTGGCAAAACCCCTGTCTCCGGGCTCCACCAGGATCTCGTGCTTTGAGCTGTGGCAATAGTGGGCTAGAAGGTGGTGATCGCTAGCTGCTAGGGGATGAAAGAGGTCACACGTTTCATTCTTCACGTGTCACTATGACCACGGTACCGCCTGTAAGGTTACAGCAGCGCCATAGCGGAAGAGACGAGTTCATTTTTAGGAAATTTGGTTCTCAATAAAACGAAACAAGCAAATTTTTTTTTTTTTTTAAGTCGTAACTTTTTTTTTTTAATGGTCGAGCAATGCTTGTACAGGATGTGATAAAATGCTCGACCCGCCCGTCTCGAACCCTTAAACATGCCCTCTCCTACAATACTTGATGCTACGATTGTCTGTGGATACCTCCCCCTGCGTTCTGAGACAATAAGTGCGTCGCTAACGCTGGCTATCGGCGGCGCAGCAGACGTCGCCATCTTGTTCGCGCGTTTGGGGCAGTAAGACATACAGATGCACACTGTCTTAAGGGGATTAATGGCTTGTTTTGCTCTCGCACGCCTCTCAGTTAGTCCCGGTCGAGTGAAGTTAGTCCTTAGCATTTGCACCCGGTACCTAGCTCGGACCAGATGACTTTTTGGGGGAGCAAATAGGAGTTGAGAGGACCAAATGCTGCCTTTAGTCCTTTGAGACCATTCCTTTTTTCTTAAGAGTGTATACACTATCTGGCTAGTTGCTTGCAGCGCTCTGGAAGCCACAGGAGGTAGAGTGAGAAAATAATCTCCGAGGGAGACAAAAGCGACGTCTGGAATACACAAACGAGTGTCCGGGTAAGAGGAGAGTTCCTCCTCCTCCTGGGGGGGGGGGGGGGGGGGGGGGGGGTGCAACTGCTCGGTTTGCGCTCTGGCCTCTGCTCCTCGGGTAACGTTGCGCGCAAATAGTGGGATAAAGTATAGAACTTTTCCGCTTACTCTCGCCCCCGACTGCCGAGTAGGCATATCCGGTATGGACGACGAAAAAATATTAAACCGTTTCAACCTAAACATAGTAAAAAAAATAGAGGGAGACAAAACGAGAATGGGTTACGGTTACGCTTATCTCCTAAATGCATTCTACTGGCGTGGTGACGGCAAAACAATGTTTTCGCCCATACCGGAAGTGACGATATTTCAAGATGGCGGCGCCCTTGTGAAAAAGGTCTACAGCAAGGAGGCGCTGCCGCCAGAATACAGATTATGATGTTCCGTAGGCTTGAATCGTGGGAGCGCTCTCGCCCGTGCGATCCGTCACACGTCCCCTTCTAGTCTACCTTTGTGTCTGCTGCCACAGTTCCAACAAGATTCCTTACTGTTTCTTTTTTATCGTTCCAGATCATTATTTTGCGAAGAACGCTGAGAGAACAGCTTACCAGTGGCGCCCCCTGGGCACTTCTGCACCGCCGTGTTTCCGGCCCTAGTCCAATTCCAGTAGAGCTCCCTGGAGTAGATCGGAGCACAGTACTCCTCGCTGGACCCGGGAAGCTCCAGAGAAACCGTGGATAAGTCCTCCGTTGGTTCTGCTGTGAACAGAAACAAGCAGGTAAACAACACACAGTTACAGCCGGCACCTGCGAGTTACACGTGTAAGTAGGATACGTGTGGCTCATTAAACATCGTGGATCAAGGACACAAACGCACAAAAAAAAATAAAACCGGGAGTACCCAGTTATCGGGGGTTGCCGTGACTACGCGTACCGTTTTTTTATACAAATGCGTTTCTCAGCACTTCAGCGATAATACAAATTACGTTTAACAGATTCTATTGGGTTCGCTGACTCAGATGTGCTACTAACGGCTCATTACGTCTCAAATATTCCGTGTTCGTTCAGTGTCATCATTGCGCTTGAATGAGGAAGAGGGAGTGAAGACAACGCCCCGAAGGTACCAAGGCCAAAGTGACTACATTTTCCACGTCACAAACGTGAGGTCAAGGCGAGGCTCTGATCCGACAACATGACGCACCGGTTTCTGCGACGTCACTCGTTGCACCTCGGGACCACTTTTGTTGTGTCGATGGAACAGGACGCTAGACACACCAGTCAAAGACGCGTTCTAAGCGCATTAATAAAACGAAGGTCCCTTCCACAAGCAGATACGGTTTGGAATGAGTATTCGATTCGCATCATCACACCCGAGCATTTGTAGCCTTCTTTGTACCGCCAAAGACGATTACGCGGTCAATTTGTACCGAGCCCTTCCTTCTTTCCATATTCACCCGATATACGTAGCAGCAGCAGCACCGGACTCACGCCCGAAAACAAAGGGCAGTAATCAGCGTCCGGACGGTTCCTCGCCATTCCACCCACACAGGCAAACACGTCCACCGAACGAAAACATAAACGTCCAACAAACAAACCAATTCTTCGCTAAGCATTTTTTTTTCTCTCGCTCGTTTTCTTTTAGAAATTGGGGTCCGTCGGACGCGGTGCCGAGATCACTATCTTCTCCCCCATACATAGTACGTGCGGTGGTGGGGAGGCTACCACGCCGATATGCGGAAACGACTCCGGCCCCGTGCAACAACAACATAACCTGGCGCCGGACACGCTCTGAAACACGACGTGTCATTATCCATTGCCCTCCATTGTCAAAAAACCAAGCAGTATCCTTTGCCCCCCCTCGTCCCTCCCCCCCCCCCCCCCCCCCCCCCCCAACCATCCCTTCCTGCGCCTGCTATCGAATCTTGCAATCTCCGCTGGATCTCTACCAGCCTATCCCACGCGCTCTACCTTAAAAAGACGAAAGAAAAAGTATAACAGAGAGATAGATGGATGTATGTATGTATGAAAAACTTTATTAAAGGTATATCATGAGGGAGGTAGTTTGCGCGCCTCTGTTTTCCTGTGCCCTCCCTGCGAGATAACGTTCACCGCCCTCTACACTCGGCTTTCACTTCAGAATGAACCTCTGCGAACATAAGGAGCCATCCCAGCCAATCCAAGGCCGTATGGGCGTCACGTGACCTCCGGGAAGGACGCAGTGATGCGCGGAGCACGTAGTCACGTGACAAGTTCCCAGAGCTGGATTGGCTGGGATGGCCCGTATCGTCCGCGGCGCTGCATCCTAAAGTGAAACAGAGTGCAAACTCCGTTCGCCCCCAAAGCAGACAGCGTGGCAGAAGCTGAGTCCTCGGGCGAACCAGTAAACCGTCTGTCTTTCGACACGCGATCATGCTCCTCCCGCCTATATGTCCCCCGTGCAGAGAGAAGGGTCAGGTGATCGAAGGGAGATCGCTGATTGGTCCGGCAAGCGCGTAGCTCCAACCGCACTGCCAGCCTGGGGGTGAGTGAACGAAGTAGGGTGGGGGTCTCGCGCTCTACGCGACACACACACACACTACACCCGCTGACTTGCTTGTAACGACCGCGTCACTGTGTACGCTGACCAGGCGGTGGGAGGTACGGAAACGCGGGCTCACGGAGGCCCGCGCACGCACACCGCCTCGTTCGATCTGTTTTGTCGTGCGCGAAACACGACAAGGAAAACTGCGAAGATTTTTTTTTTTCCCTCCCACCCATTGTGTCGATGAGGCTTAACGTCCTGCTGATTATTCAGTTGTCGTGCTACTCTTTTTGTTACTGTTTGTTGCCCACTTAACACCGCCCCCCCCCCCCTCCCCCCTCCCAAACCGAGGTACAGGAGGCTAAGACAAAAGGTCCGCATTTAGCCACCTCCCGCCTTGACAGAAAGGAGGCCGTTCGATTTCTCGTGCGCGCGCATGTGGCAAAGATAAAAATGGGGACTCAAAACAGCGCGCGTGAACGAGGGGGGAGAGGGGAGCGTTGCATTAAAATGAGATTGTCCCATTGTTTTTGCCCTTGTTTCCGAACTGGTCGCTGCTCTTTTCCCGCTACCACTTCCATTCTTCACAATGCATATCCGTAGCGCGAGCGCGCGGCTAGATTGTCAAATGGCGTGGCTAGACCCCGAAAATGAAAACGAAGATTCTTTATATATTTCGTGCGCATTATTAATGTGCGTCGCTCTTATACGGGAAAGGGGGGTGGGGGTGTTCGAGCGTGCTGCTTTTTGTGCCTTCTGTATCTTTGTCGTTCTGGATGCTCGTCGCCGCATATGCGGTTATCTGGCGAACACCCTACGCAGTGCTCGCTTAGCGCCAAGTTCAGCGCGTCTGTGTGCCCCCCCCCCCCCCCCTCCCCGCCCCCGCTTCCCCTCCTTCGGTTTGCGCCAAGTATTCGCGTGTAGTAGCGAGCGTTCAACAGAGTACTAAGCTTCTACGAGTACGTACCATGACTAAAGCTACACTATTAGCAATGTGCGCGACCAAAACCGTCACTGTAATACCCGTGTCCCACTAGAGCGACATACAGAAACAAAAGACAACGACAAGCCTCAAACCACAGCCTTTCGCGATCTGAGAGGCTTTGTAGAATAAAAGAGGCTATGCTCAAACACGAAGCATCATGCTCGTGAGGGTGGCTTCGGCAGGCTTGCAATCACTCGTGCTTACTTCACGAGCACCGAACGACTAAACGCCTGCCGAAGGTACCATCGCGAGCATACTGCATGGGTTTGAGGCTTGTCGCTGTCTTTTGTCTCCGTCTGTCACTCTAGTGGGACACGGGAATAAACGGCCTTCCACGATTGGCCCAACCACAGGCATAACAGCCCTGCCACACTATTAACTTCGACGATATCGATTTAAGTACGAGATAGCTCTTCACGTCTACCGTGCTTTTTAAGCCCGTCGAAATTGCCGTCTCAACTGATGATAGGTAGTCAAGGTTACAACTCGTGATGTCACAGCGACGACAATCTTGATCGTGACATCATGGATGGAATACGTAAGAAAAAGGTAAGGACACCAATCGGGCAACGTCAAAAGCGCAAGTAAGGGCCGGCTTTAAGGGTGGGCGACCTCTGCGGTCGCCCAGGGCGCCATCAATAGAGGGGCGCCGCCACGCCCCCCTTTTGAAATTATTTTAGCGTTTTTTTATTTATTTGAACACAGGGCCCCTCGTTTTTGGATTGCGGTAATCATCTGACGAAACGCTCGTGTTGGGCCATTACTCACATGTTTACTAACAACGTGATGTCGTAACTAGTAAATAGGGGCGTATAAAAAAAAAAGGGGGGGGGGGGGGCGCCACGGCCGGAGTCCGCCCAGGGCGCTTGACGATGTAAAGACTGGCCTGGCGCAAGTCAATACCCAAGTAGCACGAAGTTTGGCCAAGCAGTGGCCAATGGCTGACGATGGTTTTTTGGCCAATGGCTAAAGAGTGGCCATTCATCGGCCAACGTTCAGCCGATGGCTGATGGCCAGTGGCTATCAGCCTTTCTCTGGCCAATGGCCAGAGAAAGGCTAGTAGTTGGCCAATGGCTGGCCACTGTCTGGATGCTAGCCAAAGGACAACTGCCAGTCATTGGCCAATAATTGGCCAAATCTGTGCTGCTATAGGCCTTTTCTGTTTATGATTGGTTGAGGGATGATAGACCACGTACATGACAAACACCATGACGGTGCGCTTTTGATGGTGTCTGAATGGTCTGATTATCTGATTAACTCGTAGCGTCGGCTGCGTCTGGACCTAAGGTGAAACGAAGTATAACACAGTCACCGACATGATAAGAAACGCTGGGCGCGTCTCATCATGTTTGTGCTTTATGTTTCATGATCGGAAGTTCTTATTGGCTGATGTTGCAATCTGATTGGTTGAGGAGCGATGATAAGATGCTCGGAACTCGCCTGATTTTCCTAAGCCGTCTGCTACTTAAGCCCAACGACTCGGCAAAGAAATGCCCAGTCACTGATCCATAGACCCATATCTGATCTTCCGCAGAAGATGGCCACTGTGCTCGCCAGGAAGAACGCGTTCCGCAGCTCAGTATAGACAAAGATGGCAGTGCCCGGGGAGATCATTTTTCGTTTTCGTCGGTGGTTTCCGCTGTCCCGCAACGTCCTCCGCAACCCGCTATATGAGATCCGGGACTCTGCAGGCAAGGCTATGGCGCAGCGCGTGCGCAGTAGTAGAGTCTTCGTTCTCAAAAACGTAACGGAGGTGAAAAAAAAAAAAAAAAAAAAAACGGTAGCCGACGTTACGAGTTTATAGGACCTAATCAGACGGCGTCAAAAGCGTACACCCATCGTGATGTTTGGCATGTTTCTGTATACGTGTCCTATCATCGCCGAAACAATCAGAAACTGAAAAGGTCCGCTCACAAAGTTGGCTGCGTTTCGACTTAAGCTGAAAGGAGGTACAGAAGATTTTCCCTCCCTCCTCCCTCTTCCAAAAGTCATCATCTGTGTATACACGTAGCGCCGCCTGGCTTGCGTTGTTGGAGCGCGTTGGAATATCAGTAACGATGACATCATGCGTGGGCCTTATCTTCTTGGTGTTCACTTGGCGCCATATTTGAGGGCTTAGTGTTTAGAGCGCGTGCTCGGAACGAGCTCACATTCGCAGGGCTGCTAAGACAGGCAGTTTCGATGATGCGGAATGCACGCTGCAAAAGAACTGTGGAAGCTCGCGTTTAGCACGCGCTCAGCAGTCGCGCACAG